CTGTTAAATCAAATTGCGCATCTCTAAATTCATCTTAATCATTGAACTTCTTTATCTTACTTAACTTATTTCATTGTTTCGCTTTTTCTTTTCTTTGGCTTCCCATCCGCAATTCTCTCTTTTTTTCTCTTTTCCCAAAAATCCATTATAACTCCCAGCAACGCGATCGCAAAAATTTTCTAATAACATTTCACTCGGATAATAATTACTTTTCCAAACAAAAATTCTTTTTAAATTTAATGATGCTCACTTTGAAAGAATTGAAACGAAAAAACGAAAAGCGTAAAGAAATCAATGAAAAAAAAGACTATTTTCATCGGCTTGATGAGCACTTTTGCGAAATTTGCGTAGATTTTTCTCTGTTTTTGAATTCTGCAACAATTTGCTGCAATTCTGATCCCATATCCCTTTGAAAGAATTTCGAAGCATCTCCTCGGAGAATTGGTCTCATCCATTTCATGTATGTTTCCATTGATGAAGGCTTTGGATTCCCACCGCCTGTACCGTCCTTTCGTGATCGAATCGGAAAAAATCGGGATCCGAAAACATTACTCAATCCTCATATTGTTCACGAATATGGGACTTGAAAGGGGCGTTCTAAACAACATCGTTTGCATGAATTTGAATTTCGTCTTTCCACCGGAAATGAAGACACAATCCAGGTTCAGTTTGTCCAGGTCGATCGATCTCCAGGTCGATCGATCTCCAGGTCGATTCACTTTTGTGAGCCAAAAGTTTGCATGAATTATTTTAGGGACCTGAACGTCAGCGCCCGGGTTCGAACCGGCGACCTAGCGCTTACCAAGCAGATTTTTTAGATTGGCAACTTGAAAATTGGTACACTTTTTCGTATTTTTCATAAAATATATTTTAATACACGAATTGAATTAGACTTCTATAAATAAAAGTTATTTAATATCGAATTTAAGCAATGTTTAAGCAAATTTCGATAAGTTTTGCGACGAATTTTTAGCAGAATTTCGTCTTTCCACCGGAAATGAAGACACAACCCAGGTTCAGTTTGTCCAGGTCGATCGTCGATTCACTTTTGTGGACCAAGTGCTGGTGCTAAATCAGCAAAGAGATATCCTTTTTGTTGAAGAATCCCAAAGCCAAATGATGATCTTTGCCAAGATTCAATGTAAGATTTGGATGTACTAGCACAAACCCGACCTCGATCAAAAGCCAAACCCAAGCCTGACTTCTGGTGAGCCAAGCTTTGTCAGCTATTCATTAAAGCCAGACAAATACCTGCTTTGGAATTTCCTTTAAGACAACTTTGGCTTTATTCCACGGCTAGCGAATAACAGATTGTTTGTTTTGAAAATAAATATATAATAACTGAGTGAATAAACTGTAATGCAATGGGAAATAAAGTACTTAAAGGAGCTAAATCAATGAATTGCAACGAAAAGATGGTAGATAGGCGAACCGATTTGCGCTTATCACCAAAGGATCTCAAGTTTTCTATTTTCTAATGTTTCTTTCCTCAGACGTAACTCTAATTCTTGTCACGAATGTTGAGAAAAAAAAAGTGCCGCTAATCAAAAACTAGCTATTTTTTTAATTCCTTCTCTAGCGAAAACATTGAGCAAAATGAAATGAAATGAAATGAAATAAAGCTGTCAAAAATTGGCGTCGAAAAAGGGGCAAAGGGGGAAATTATTTCCGCGAGTGTGAAGTTAAAGGGGGGAAAGGGGGAATGGGGAAGGAGAGCGGAGGGGACTTCACTCCCCAGTGTGTCTTCGATGTTTCATCTCTACTCCTTTTTGTCTAAATCTTTTTTGTTTCCCTTTTCTAGGTACTTCTACTTCGACTTCGACTTCTACTTGACTCAAATTTTAAACCTAAAAATCTCACTAAATTGTTTCTACTTGCTTCTGAATTTCCCTAATTTGCTGGTCGACTTTGTGACTTTTGTCAGAAAGTCAGAAAGTGAATCAGAAAGCGCTGAAGAATTGTCTCGTGATTAGCATTGATACAGGCTATATAGGTGTCTAAAGAACGTACCATAAATACTGTAATAGTATCCCACCCCCATAATGACGGTGTGGAGTGTTGCGTAGTCTAGCTTTGAAGGCATTTTTGACACTGTTTTATGCTACAATGTTCGTTTAGGTATCAAAAAATAGCTGAAATTGAGGGCTATTTTTTGATACCTAAGCGCGCATTGTAACATAAACCAGTGTCGAGAAAAACTCGTTCAAAGCTAGACTACGCAACACTCCACACCGTCATTATGTGGGTGGGGGAATATTACAGTATTTACGGTAATCATATCCTAACAATAAAAGTTGTTAGTTTCAATGAAGATTCAACAAATTGTGTATCTTGGTGTCGATTCTCGATGCTTCCTCTTCCCTCTTCCCTTTCCGACTAAAAAATCCCCCTTGTGCACTCTCATATGATTTGATATCCGATTCTCGTCCTCGTGTCATTTTTGCCCTTTCCTCTTCGACTTTTCTCCCTTCTGAGTACCCTTTCCTTTCCTTTTTCTACTTGTAAATTGGTTTATTTCTCATCTTTCTTTTTTTTTTGCATTAATTCTTATTGATCAATAGTTCTGAGAGTTCCTTGTTGTAAGTATGATACTTTTAAGGATTTAAACGGTTTCTTTCGATAGCTTTCTCATAATCGACTCATCCGGAAGTTTACACAAAACTCGCAGCTCTTCAATTTATTCTCAAATATTCAACACTTATGGATTAATACTTATAAATTGTTATAAGCTTCGTTGTAAGACAACTTTCTTATTATCTTATTATCGCATTCTTATTTCCTTTCATTATCATTACCTTTCATTATCATTTCCTTTCATTATCATTTTCTTTCTTATCATTTTCTTTTCAGTTATCTCACCATTTTCTTAATCAATCAACCATTATCTTTATCAAAAAACAATATCTATTGGGTTAGTGACTTGAAAATTGGGTTGGTGTTCTATTGGGTTGGTGTTCTATTGGGTTGGTGACTTGGCTATTGTCATATGTGACAGTTTGAGCACTTTCTTCAAAAGAAACCCATTTTGGTGTCAATGGAAAAGTTGTAGAGAATCAAAAATCAAGCTTATATCCAAATTTTCAGAACGATTCAAAAGCTGGTTTTCAAGAAATGCCAAATTTACGAATTTTCACAAAACTTGCATTTTAAGCGAAACTACTAAGTGTATCTTTTTGGAAATTTGGCTATAAGCCTAATTTTTGATTCTCTACAGCTTTTCTATTGACACCAAAATGGGTTCCTTTTGAAGAAAGTGCTCAAACTGGGACACTGGGACAGCTCCAGTCCTCCATTTTTGAGTCTCACACTTGTCTCACACACAAACCAAAATCCTACTACGAAAGAGGATGCCTGTAACCCCGCAAATTGCCTGTAAAATGGGCAGAAGTCGTCAATAATAATGGAAATTGTGTGGAATGATTGATGGTTTTATGCGGAATTAACATGTTTTATGTTTTATGTTCAAAGTCCGGCAGTTTTCAATTCACCAACCCAATAGTAGTGCACCCCGGTGTACTGGGAGTTGCTGGATAGCAAGACGACCCTTAATGCAATCAAATACAGTGAACAGTTGGGAAAGGTGAATGAATCCCTGAAGAAGAATAGGCCCTCCAAGTCAAAGATCGTTCTCATCCACGACAACGCGCACCCTCATGTTGCAAAACTGACTCGCTCTAAAATCAATAGCCTTGTTTGGGAACTTTTGTCGCATCCCGCATACAGTCCGGACCTCTCCCCTTTTGATTACTATTTACCGTATTTACTCTATTAGTGGGGTCCCCCACTATTTTTTCAATCCCCTTCCAGACGACCCCACTATTAGAGAGGACCCCACTATTAGAGAAATTTAAAAGAACATAAAACCAAAGTTTTAAATTGAAAAGATATCAATTTTTCTCCGAAATTCTTGACAAAACAAGTTTGGCTTCATATTTTATTTAGCTTTAACCGTAACAAAACATTAACAAACAGTAAAAGAACTAATCCAAGAGATCAACAATTGATGTATCACTTTCGTTACCAATATTAGAGAGGACCCCACTATTTTTTCAACCCCCCTCCAGACGACCCCACTATTAGAGAGGACCCCACTAATAGAGTAAATACGGTATTCCGGATCATGAGTAATGAGCTTGCGGGAGAACACTTCGATTCGGAAGAAGCATTCAAAAATTGGCTCCAAAAGTCTTTCGATTCAAAACCAAAATCCTACTACGAAAGCGGAGCCCGCAAATCCGCTAATTGCCTGTAAAATGGTCAGAAGTCGTCAATAATAATGGAAATTGTTTGGAATGATTGATGGTTTTATGTTGAATTAACATGTTTTATGTTTTATGTTCAAAGTCCGTCAGTTTTCAATTCACCAACCCAATAGTAGTGCACCCCGGTGTACTGGGGTGCACTACTATTCATCAACCCAATAAAATTCTTTTCTCATACATACAAAAAAGTTTAAAAACAAAATTTTACAAAGAATTCTTCTTTCGCTTTTTTTTTCTTCTCACTTTTGTTTCTCAAAAAGCGTGGGAAGATTTGAAAGAGTTGTCTGTCACGCAAACATTTCTCTCCCAAACAAAAATCCCTTGGGAAATCGAGGCGATTTCCGAGCGAATTGTCCATTTCCAACACTCACTTATTGTTCGTCATTTACGTACATATCTAAAGCAATAAAGTAACTATTGTACTATATGGAAAGTACTATTGGAAAGCCTACTTTTACAAAGAATTCGTTCTCATGTTTCTCCTATGCTCTTTTCACTCTCTTTTCTTTTTCCCGATTACAGTTTGAAGATTCAATTGAAGATTCAATCAATTCAATTTCCTGAAGATCAAGAGTGAATTCTTGGCTTTTAGAGCTTATTCTTAGCTTATTTTTAGAGCTGTTCTAACACTAAGAATCATTCGATCAAGCTTTAACTTATTCAGATTAGATCAAAACAGATTTTAGATCAAAGCAATCAACAACTGGAAATCATTTCAACATTGAGCGATCATGTGATATGGAAAACGAGAGACTAGCCAAGGTTTGAGCTTTCAGCAAGTCTGGATATAGTTCTCCAGAATATATATCAACTCCAGTTCAGCAACTAAAGGTGCACCCATCAATCCCATCAAACTAGTCTCTTCCAAATCAAGAAACGCGCGATTACCCGATATTTTACATTACACAAGTAAAGTTTAGATTTTTTTTCTCTTTTAATTAGCTGGCGCTCTATCAACCTTTTTTATGTAAAGATCAGTAAGTCTGGATATAGTTCACCAACTTCAGTTCAGCTCCAGTTCAACTCCAACTAAAGCTGCACCCATCAATCCAAATTTCTTTCTATTTAATCCGCTATTTGGATACGATCCGGGCCTGGTCTGGCCTTTCTGGAGTTGCCTGATTTAGCTTTAAAGTTAGAAAAGTCAGTCCTTTCATGAGTTGAAGCTGGGAATACAAACCATGGTCGGGATTCGAACCCGCTTACCTTACCTTATCGGACGAAATGCTTACCTTACCTCTCGCTTACCTTACCTCTCGCTTACCTTAACTTATCGGACGAACACTCTACCAGAGTAGGCCCGTTTCCAGAGTAGAACATTATGCCTTACTTTAAAGCAAATATCCCAATATTCCCAAAGAACTGGAGGGCAAAACTGGTTCTTTACTGGCAACTGGCATGACTTTCCTGAAGATCGAGTAAGCCAAATGAAAGCTTTATAAACAGAGTGGACTTTATGCGTTTAACCGCAACCGTTTAACCGTTTAACCGCAAACTATTGACGATCTCTATCCATCCAGAAGTGATCTCTATCCATTCCTCCCGATTTTCCTCCAATCCCTCGATGAGCTCATTGTAGTTCTCTTGGCTTTTCCCTCACCTGAGTACTCTATTTTTGAAATCCATCAGTAATTCGCCGGTTGTCGTGCTGATTTATGATGTTATTTTCGAAGTAATCCTTAGTTGAGCTTCAAAAAAAGCACGGAAAAGACGTCCAAGTCGAATTGTCAACAAAAATAGGGATATTTCGCGAAAGAGATAGGAAAGAAGAGGGGATATTTTTGGATAAGTAGGAGTGGGTGGAGAGGAGAGTGAGCAAATCCACGGCTCATCGAAAATCCCGCTCAAATTCAACACAACGTATCATCGGATTTCTCGAGAAAAGTCACTTTTCATAAATTCATTCTTTCAAATTCAAACTTGAAATCATTCTTAAATCATTATTGAAAAAAAAGCGTTTATTGATTGCGATTCCCTTGGCACTTTATTCTTTTCAAATGTTACTAGCGAAAGCCGTCAAAGTTTTCTTTATCGACCTAAATTCTCATGGAGATTTGCAAGTGAGCGACAAGAAAAAAGGATTCAGATACGATCTAAAGATAGATCTAAATTTAAGATTTAAGATTCTTTTCAAGAATATTAAGCCGATTTCAGAAGCCGATTCCACAAAGTCAAGAAGCAACTCCAGCGCAAAAAAAGAGCATTCCAAAGGTGGTCGTCACACAGCCATCGAATGGTTCGTTGAATTTTTGAAAATTAAACCAAGCTACAATTTTGGCTATAATTTTATAAATAAATAGATTCCGACAATCAAAGCTTACGATCTCGTTTTCGTTTTCGTTTTCTAGACGCTCCATTGGATTTGTGCTCCAATAATAGTTAAAAGTTAGGCGATCTTTTCTCAAGTTAAGGCCATTTTTCTCAATAGTGCTATTTTTAATGGATTTCATTTCATTTTTCATTTTTTTCATTTCTTTTTTCCTTTTCTTCCAAAAATTTCTTTTTACACTTTTCCACAAAAAGCTTTGCTAATATCTTTTCCAATTTTTGAGGACTTTGTACTAAAGCTGGTTTTCCGTTTGGCTTTTTTTCGATTCGAATCGAATCGGTTCGCTCTGGAGCGAAAAGGTAAAAACCTCGAATCAGTTGGAAATAGGGCAGATCAAAAACTCGCCGCCAGGACTCGAACCAGCGACCTTTCGCTTACCGGGCAACCGTGCTAACCATTACACTAAAACACACTCGATCTACTTCACTCCAGAGAGAGTTAACTAATCGAATCGGTCTAGACCGAAAATCAAAATTTTTCGAATCGAATCGAATTTCGATCTGCTATAGAATTTTTTAGGTTCCATTTCTTTTTAAGTCAACAAATTTATCGAGATAGGCACAAAGTTCACTGCACAATCATTGTCATTTGAGGCAATTTGGCAATTACTATGAAAAAAAGGGGTATTTAAACAAGTTTAAATATTTCCTTTTCAGGAAATCTCTTTCCCCGTCCATCCGTCTCCAGTTCGTATGGCTCCGAAATGGGAAACTACGAGAAAACGCATTGCTGTTTTTGCAGTATATTGTAGCTGATGCATTGTTTTTAATTTTTTTTTGTGTGTGTGGGTACATGTTTTTGCTTTAGTAGATTGATTTTTGTTGCCAAATCTTTCTTTTTTTTTATTTCATTTGATTTGATTCTCTTCTAATTGTTCGTCCATCCGAGTAATTTATTCGAATCGTCGAAGAATGCCCGGGTTCTCGAGAAAATCTCCATTTGACGCTTTTGATCGTCCGAATCTCCTGCAAAAAAATATTTCTTTATTTGGCTAGTTTTGATATTTTGAAAGTGTTGGTAGAAAAAAACGAATGAATGTTTATTTCAAAACGATATGATACCGGATACAATTTACCCCAAAATGACGTTAAGACTGAATTTTACAAAGCCTGTAACTTTATTGCCTGAGTATTCTCTATTACTGTAGTAATATGTCTAGTAATAAGTATCCCCTTGCCCACTCAGCTTCTAGTTTCGTGGGAAATTTCAAACGAAAAGGGCAGCTACGCAAAAATCTATCGGCTTCGTAGCTTTCGTAGCTGTCCCATTTCTTTGAATTTCCGGATAAAATTAAAAGATATTCAGCTAAAGCTTAGGGGACACTTCGAAAGTATAGTAATATTGGATTCTTTTTGAAAATTTCACATTTTACTCACCCTTTTTCAAGACATTCGAATTGGCCCAAATGGCGCACGCGAACAACGTCTGTGTGAGGGTGAATGGGAGAATTCGCTTGAATTCATCCTAAAATTTAGTCAAAAACAGTTGAACAGAACTGTAGCCAAAGTATCTAATTAAAGTAGAAGAGATGGGTAATTTTTTGAAATATAACACACATTTTTAGCATTAACCAGCGCTTAGAAAAAAATGATTGAAAAGTGGCAAAAAAAGCCGATTTTTCATCATTTTCTCAAATCATTCATCACATCAAAAAATCACTCATTCTCTCTACTTTAATTTGATACCCAAGCGCGTAGAAACAAACGTACTGGTGTCAAGTTATGAGCATTTGTTTGAGAGTAAACTTAGACTACGCGACGCTCCCATAAGGGCTTCTATTAGAGTATTTACGGTAAGCTCACTATTAAAAGTTATTTATAACCAACTTACATCAAGAAATCCACGTGCAAATGGCACTTTGTGCTCTCGCTTCAACAATTCTTCAGTCAACTTTTCGTAGTACGAATCGAAAACTCGGGATTGCAATTTTCGCCTCAATTCGGTTGTGGTACAAGTGGCCAAAACGCGAGAGATGTCCTCAATCTGGAAGTGGACATTGGTAGGGTTTTTTGCTACAACAGGATACACAGCCGATTCCTCTGCTTACCAGGCTTCCCAAATGTGATACTTGCCAGTCAAGGATGGTAGCGATTTTCCCGTCTCTCCAAATGATTTGCGGTGACCAAAGATCCCCGTGAGCCACGATGCGATGCGGATTGTCTAAAATTAATTGCTACTCTTTTTCAAAACATTCGTATTCAATTGTACTACAGGTATTCAATTAAAATCAAAAAAAGAATTCCTTGTGTAAAAGCTCTTTTTCAAACCTTCACTGATCAATCCCAATTCCCAATTTTGGCGAGTGGTCGTCTTTTCGAAAAGCGGATCCAAGCACTAAATATTAATGGTAATAAGCCAATTTTTATACTTGAGACTTACAGTCCAAAATCCCGGCATAGTCGCCTTTAAACCGGCCGTGATTTGCTTCATAATCGCCTCGAACTTGTCGAACTTCGCGAAATCCTGTACTGTGTTTTTATTTGCAAAATTTATCATATACCATTGCATAAAACTCGATGTTCTTCCACGAGTCATTCGTGAAACAAAACGCATGGAAACGAGCCAATTCGTGGGCAATTGAAAAGAGCTAAAGTTTTGTTTTAAAGTGAAAGAAAGTGAAAGAATTTAAAGAATTTAACGAGTTTAAAGAATTAAACTAAATTTAAAGAAGAAAGTGAAAGAAAAGTTTTATTTTAGTAATTGGGTCAATTTTTTTCAACTTATATTCATTCAATTGTAGGTATTACGTTAGAAACGATAATTTTATTTGATCAATTTTACCTGTTCTTCAGTGAAGCCATTTTCGACTTTCATCAGATCTCCTTTCACTTCTTCCATCAAAATCATCGGCGTTTCGGTGCTGAGATCGAACGAGCCATAGATTTTCGGGAATGCGATCGGTTTCTCTGGCACTAAATGTTTAAGAAATTTCTCCTCTCCTCTAAAACATAAAATTCATTTCTCACATGATTTCAGCCACGTGTAGACGGCTGTTTCGTTATTGTGCATGAACTTTTGCATCTCCTCTTGTTCGTCGTTCATCTCTGTTGATCCTGCCGCGGTAAGATTTTGAAAGGCTTCCGCTGTGCTTGGCATCTAAAATGAGACTTTAGTTGTGGATAAAAAAAATGGAGTACAATGACAGTTTAACAAATCGGACATGGACAGTTGGGCACAAAATGAACAAGCGCATGTCACGCTAACAATTGGGAAGCTATTCAATCATGAAAGTTGACACAAAACTTTATTATCATTGTTTCAGGAAGGCAGCATTCTCGATCGGTGGCTTTACATCGTAACGTGATTCGACGCATAATCGACATCATTCCAAGAACATCCGACAACGGTGATACCTAATCACTTATCCATTATCTACATGCCTGTGCTGGACAGGGTTAAAAATATTAGCGATTCAGAGCCTTGACCGTCTACTGTAACTATAAATTCTAAATTCCTTAATTATCATTTAAAACGATGTGACGCAACGTGTTATAAATCCCAATGGTAAAATTGAAATTGTACTATTCCTCAAGTAAGAGTATAAACTCTACTACTCACGTCTAATGTATGCAAAAGTTGAGCACTTACCTGGGCAATCTCCACAGGACACCCATATTCCTCCAACAAATAATTCTCTAACCAATCTTTTGTAATCGTCGATCCATCAGTAATCAGATGTGAGTGCGCCGCCATATTTTACACCAAATATTTCCGATTTCAAAGATCAAATGTAAAATTAAAGATGCTGTGATTGACTCAATAAGGGCTTCCCTTCCTCATGACCCCCGCTTTTTATCAATTCTAAGCTGGTTATCACTTGACATACTTTGAGTAGTTCCCGCCGATTTTTAGCGATCATTCCCTCAGAGCAACAACAAGATAACCAATTTTATAAATATTTTCAAAAACAACCAATGACAAAAATTAATCAAGAAATGCCCAACAATAAAAAGTAGCAATCAAAATATAAAAATTAACGACTAGAGCGTCGCCGTGTTTATTTAAAACCACAAGAAACGATTCAACAAACAAATAAATTATAATCAAAATTAAACGTACTTAACCCGTCCTATGAAGCTGCTTGAAGAGAAGGAGAACCCTCTTGGCCAGGGACATCTTTTGGAATGAAGTCGTAAGTCTCTTGTTGCACAATCCCGTAGTAATCAAGCACCTAAATATATCCTAATAATACTAGTATGTGCAAAACCAACCCTGTGGCATATCTCTTCAATCATCTCAATTGGGAGATTTGTCACATATTCGTCCCACCTAAAACGAATAAAAACTCGAAGAAAAAGTAAACCTACCATTGGTCTTTCACTTTTTGCTCCAGTTTATGCATTGTGAGTGAGAGTCGGCAGAAGGCTATAGCGATAATCTAAATTATAAATTGAAATATTAATTACTAAAACAGTTAAATGTTTTAAAATGGCTTACTTGCGGTTCCCAGCATAGTGAGATTATTGTGCCAAGCGAATCGTTGATAAAAGTCCAACCTGTTTGCACGATCTGTTTGGTGTCGTCGTGTGGAAACTAAAAAAAACAATGTAAAATACTTCCAACATAAAGATGCCAACAAAAAAATACAACTCACTCCAAATTTGTTAACATAGCTGAGGAGATATTTGTATGGATGGTCGACAAAGAGATCGAAGTTAAGCGTTTTCAGCAATATCCTTTCTATGCCCATCACTTCGTCCTTAAGATTTTGAAGCTTATAAATGATTTTAAAAAACTTGCTACCTGCAAATTTCTGTGCTTATTGTAGAGTATGTCGAATCGAGTTTTTGCCAAAACGACCAAATCACGGCACTTCTTTGGCGTTTCCTCGACTTTTCCTGCCAAAAATAAACACCCGAGCGCGGTGAGCTAGAAAAGGAATTTAAATATCATATTTTGCTGCTACTAACCTCTCGTGGGAAATCTTGAAACTTTTGAACCATGTAGAAACGATGAAAGAAAACGGCTGCAGACGCGAGAGTCGGATTTGTCTTTCTTAACCAAAGTTTTTTCCAAAGAGATAGAATAAAAACTAACAGCTTTAATTGTTTTCCGATTTCCATGATTATCTTGACTCCTTCGCGGCGCAATCTTGCCTCGTCCTTTAATTCCATACCTAAACAATGTATCTTTTAAAAATTACTCGTTCCTGGTTATAAATGACAGAATCGGTGTATAGTTAGGTACATCTTATCCATCTAACCACTCCAATTTTCTACCTATCTAAGTATTCTAACCTTCCATGTTTTCGATTTTATTACAAAAAATAAAAACAATCCACCTGCTTTTCGCGAAGGCGTAAACTTTACGTCTTCTTCGCTCCAAAACCAATCGCGAGGTATTTGTGCCATCTAGAAAAAAAATTAGCAATGTAAAGAACCAGCTGAAAACGATTGACAAGGAAAAAAACGGGTTGGAATGAATGGGGTTAAAATGAACGAAAGGAAGAGGGGAATTGTGCATTCGTGTTGTCACAAACTACCGCTAAACTACACAACACCATCGATCAATAGAGTGAGAGGCGAGGAGGTGTGAGAAGGAGAACGCGCAAAAGAATCATAAAACTAGTTTTGCGCGTTAAAACTTAAAACTTACACAAGTTTTGAAGAAAGAGCAAGGCGACGCACTACACACCCAACTAAAATGGGGTTTTTTTCGGTGGCCCTTTAAACTATTTGGGGAACCTAATTAAAAGATATTCAGTCAATGCCTAAATATTACTGTTTTTGCTTTAAGAAGTCTATAAAAGTGAATGTAGCATTGCTGTTATTTTTCACCGACTAGCACGAGATTTCATCGCTTCTGGTTATGTATTGCTGTTTTTTGAAAGCTTTTAATAGGTTCTTTTTTTCCAAACTTATCCAATGTCCAATTTTATCTTTGATTTAACTGTTTTTATAGAATTCTTTTTTTTCTACTTCTAGATGTCAATGACAGATGAAGAAGCGAAGGATCCACCGGCTGTTCAACAAAGTTTTCTCATCTTTGACGGGGCCTCTCTCCTCTACGTACTCACCATTTTTCTAACGGTAAATATTTAATACCGCACTTAAGATTTCAAACGCTTATAAGTGATACTTAACTCTAATTTTAGACGATCATTATCATGGGAATCTTTGCGAAACGACAAATTGTACGACACCGAGTGAATTTTTCTAGGAAGTAAGGCTTTGCATAAAGTTACACGGTTTAATTACATGAATAAATAAGTTCCGAAAGTTACTATTTATTTTAGGGTGCCGGAGGTTAGGCTAAAAGCTATTGCACCAAAGAAAGTTTGTGATCGAGTGAATGAAAAGCTAGAACAGGTAATATTTTTGATATAATTTAACGATTTTAAGATGTTGCTTAATTTAGGTACAAAAACTTCGTCAGTCGTACTTGCCAAAGTTGACGGATTGTTTAGCGATACAATCTCGTATATTTTTAAGATACTGTATCAATGAAGTTTGCGTTTAGATAACAAAAAGCCTTATCTTCAACGAATGATAGCATTAGATGAAATAACAATGGGCATCGGTACTTTATAAAATTTAATTTTTCATTGTATTAACCGCATAGATGATACAATGACACGAATCAATACGGACTATGCTCGTTTACCCGGAGAAACCACTTACAAGTATTTATTGCGACTAAAGGTGAATTTTGAAAAGACTAACAATATTTATTTTTTTGCTATATTCAGAAAGATGTACTTCCGGGGCTTTCAATAGCTCTTGTGCAAAGGATAGCATATCTCCATGAGTCAGCGCGCTATCGGCCAGAGGTTTTAATGGTTTTCTAACTTTTTCTATTTTTTCCTTTAGAGATTTGATGTTCCAGAACTAATGGAGTTAAGATCGTTGTTGGCACAATTCCTGAAAATGTAAGTTATTGATTCATGTCAAAGCGGTATCGACCTTGAACGACCCTCTCTTCTATCTCACTTCATTGTTTACTCTGCCGCGACCTTTTATCGGCTGTCAGGCTTACATTTGTTTTGATAGCAAGGTTTTAGAGGAAACTAAAATCAGTTTTAAATTTCTCTACATAAAATTTGTTTTAGAGTAAACAGCAACGGGTCAAAAATAACACCTCAAACACCGGAGAAGACACCAAAGGGACCGCTGAGTCAATGGAGAGTCATTGGCAGTGGAAACAAGAGGCAAAGACGGACACCTTTTGGAGGAAGTGACGGTAACTTTTATTATTTGAAGATTACTAAGCTATTGGATTTTTTCATATTTTGATAAATTCTAATTGAATTTCCTGAAGAAAAATTACTTCAAGATTGAGAAGATAAACGTTTTGCATTGGGGTCAAAAGTAGGTATAATAATAAAAAATCATTTAGGTGGTCGATTACTCGTACAATCTGGATATGTGACGAACAATCGTGGCGCAGGCATCGAAGAACAAATCGCTCTTCTTCCAATCGGATCAAGCAGCACTGAGGCAACTCCAAAGAAGCACGTTCGACACCAAAGCGATATGCCACAACGATCAAAAGAAATTTAGTTTTCTTTGTTGTTTTTGTACAGTTTTTTAAATTGCCATCTTTTGAAGCTTTAAAAAGTCTTCGGTTGTTAACTTTGTACACATTGACGGGTTTTGTGAATAAATTTATCTACTTATTAATCTAACGAAAATTTGTTGGTTTTGACCCAAAGCCTATTTACTTAAATTTCGACTTTTTTGTATGGACTCATTGTCAGTTTTAGGGAGAGATTCAAATTGGCGGTCGTTTTCACATAGGTGGTCGCATTCTGCACAGGTAATTTTTTTAAAACTATTTGCTTGCATGACTTATTTACTTTTCATTTTTTTAGACAATGGAATTGGTTCTCGCGGCAACTCCACCGCCGCTGCCGCTATTTGCAGCGAACTTCTCGGTTGTTCCAATCGGCAAAGTAGAGCCACTTGCCACTTCTCCACCATTTCTGCTCAATGCTACGACAAGGCCGAGTATCAGAAAAGAGGTTTGTTCTAGAACTGTTCATTTTTGGTCTGATTATCAATAGGTGTACAACGGAAAAACTAGATCTGACCACTACAACGGCTAATTATTGTGGTTTTTTAGACCAAAAGATAGAGCTTGAAAAATTCTACCTTCATGTAGCAAGAAATCCTGAAATGGGTCGAATCTCGTTTTCCGTTGTGCACCTATTGAGAATCAGATCGAAAATGAACAACGCTAGTTTTTTTTTGGTTAATGCTGTCTTTTCAAAGATATTATAACATCTGAACTATATTGTTGTTAGCAGGTTCCAAGGCCGCCAGCACTACCACCGAACAAGCCTGACTTGAATAGCGGTTTGCTCCACTTTTTATTACACAACAAAATATTTTAGGCGGATTACACATAGACTTCAAAGGAATGCTTGACTCGACGATTGATAGTGCAAAGGATCTCTTTGGCGACATGTTTGGATTGAAGTTTCTAAGAAACAAATTTTCTGATTTATTTGCATTTTAGCGCTGAATGTCTTAACGGAGGGAAAAGGATCTCAGGAAATAAATGCGAATGTACATACGGGTACAGAGGTAAAAACTTCGAAAACATCACTGTCAAAATCATATTTTAAGGTTCGCGATGTGAGGAAATTACTTGTGAAAATAACGGTATTCGTCGTCGCGTTGAAAGACAAAAACCACCACAATTCGTATGCAGGTATGCTGCGCTAGGTAGTTGTTTAGTTCTAGTTTCTTTTAGTTGTCCGCACCCAGAATACATCACGGGTAAACACTGTGAAAAGGTCGTTTGTCTGAACAACGGAAGCTGGAGTGTTCAAGAACAGATGTGCATTTGCGATGAACAGTGGTATTATGGAAAATTTTGCGAGGTGATTATTTTTTCTAAACATAAACAATAATTTTAGGGGAAACGTACTCATCTACCGTTTTTAATCGGAATTCCACTGGTTATAATTGCTTTCATTCTTCTAATGTGCTACTTGTGCAAGTGAGTCTTTAACATTTTTATTTTGCTATAATATGTTTTATTACCTTTTTTGTCTGTTTTAGAAAAGACTGGTGCCCTCGTCAACCTCGACGCGGAAGACACGGTATGTACAGAAACGGAGAAGCACAGTCAAGGCGACGTCCAGTGAGTTCAAATTTTTTACATATCAAATTACAATCTTGGATCGGAATAGTGAAAGTATTTTAGATTTCAACCAATAGAACTCCTCGTACTCGAGCGCATGCAACCGGAATACTAGTACAAGTAAGAGAAAATAGCTTAACCCATTAATCTTTTTCATTAAGGAACACTTACTGGGCGAAGAAAGGGGTGCGCCAATGCGATCTCCCGCCTATCCACCAGGAATCGTGCCTCCATTTGTGATTCGACTTGACACGATTCCAACATTCAATCCCGGAATGGTTGGCGGAGTCGATCCGGCTGGGGCGGGAATGACTGCACTTGAATTGATAAAAGAGGTTTGTGAGCTGTGTTTTGCGTAGATCTTTCAAGTTAAACATTAACCGTTTATTTTCAGATCGAACCTCCTCCCTCATATGATCAGGCGATGGCTGTTCCGCGTCCCCCTGCTTACACCGCTTCACCACGGTAAGGTTTATTTTGCTAGCATTACTTTGTTTTTAATTATAGTGAATCGCAAGTTGTTGGGCATTCAACCCGTGGAACTCCACCACTTCCAACAACGGTTCCGCCAGTAGCACCACCGAGTAATTTAACGGCAAGATCTTGTAAGATATTTTTATTAAATTTTGCAATCATCTAAATATTTACTCAATCAATGCACTCGTTGCAGCTCCATCATCCAACTCAAACTCGAACGGCTCGTCGGCTTCAAGCTCTAATCACCGGAGATAGCAAATGGTGATGGGCTTTCTCAATTTTTCATACTTGCTGTACATAATATTTATAAATCAATTTTGTGCTTTCCTTTTTAGCCACAATGCGTACTTATCATCGATTTGTTTGTTTTCATTTTGTTAAGAGCTGTGATCACAAAATGATTTCTTTCTCTCAGCTATATTCTCGTATTATTTTTCTTTGAAAAACAGGGTCATTTATTCAGTGGAATAATCTTTGCCAATATTCTTTCTCTCAATAGATATCAGTTTGATTTCGTCTATGAGTGCTAACCGTTTCGATTCCCAAAGATTTCACGGACATATTCTCTACTTAATTCCTTTATTAGACATGCAATTGATAGGTTTTGCAATTTCTGTGTTATTGATTGAAAGATTAATTTTGTGTGGGATAAAATATTTAAACCGTTCATATCACACAGGGAAGTTAGTAATTTGGCAAAGAAAATACAAGTCAACGAAAAAGAAACAAGGAAAGAGCTACGTTCCTCAAGAAACTTACTGAAAGACCCAAAAACATGAAGAAGGCCAGCCGAGAGAAGTTTGGCCCAGAGAAGTGCTCAATTATTCAGTGAGGAAAAAGAAGAAGGGATTCGATGAGGATTGAGTGAGTGTTTCTCCCCTAAATCCCCCTCCTTCTTTCTTTCTTTTCCCCAATTTTCCCAACTTCTCATCCTCTCAAAAAACTAAAGGAGAGACAGCTCCCTCCCCTCCTCTCTCTACACCGATTATCCCATAAAACCTTTCCGTGTATTCTTTGTCTGAATACTTTTACTTTACAAGGGCAAATATTAAATACGGAAATAATCTTTGTTTTCGAAGATTTTGAAAATAGCTAATACTCATCACTAAACTTTTTCGAAGAAACTCTGCCTCTATCTCTTTCCTATCCAACTCTCTGAATAATAAAAGAACTTCTAGAGATTTCTTCCAAGAAAATATCTTTGCAAAAAAATCTGTATTCATTTAATTCATCCGCAAGCGAAAATGAATGGCCTACGATTTTTGACGGGAACTTCAGAAATGGGGGATCAGGTTGGTGGAGGATTTTAGAGAAAATAAAAATTCTAAAGCTTTCTTGATCCTATTAACTTTTAAGGTCAGAATTTTTTAGGTGCATGAGTTTCTGTTGGACCATTTTCGCGTCATGGAGCCGATCACAACGAGCATCAGTTTGTGACTTTGGAAATAAAAATGATGGCATTTTGAAGAAAAAAATTTAGAAGAGACCTTAAAAAAGCGAAAATAAGATTCCTTTCGATCTTACCCCTTTAATTTTTGAGTTTGAGTTCATCAAAATTCAGAGGCATCACGGGATGATGTCTTCGAGTTTTTCATCGATTTACGTGACGGCGCATTGAAAAATGAAAAGCACTCAATTGTGGTTTATGATGAAAGTGAGGAATAGAAGAAATTTGTAAAATCAAATAATTTAGATGATGAATTGGTTGGGATTTCCCTCAATTATGTCAAAGAGATCGACGAGAATAAGGAGAATTTCGAAGAAATCGAACCATTCAATCCACATAAAGATTATCAAGATGGTGAGCTAAAAGCTAGAAAAATTTCAAAAAATTGTTACAGAAATTCAAACGGGAGCCTATGAATCGAAAAACGCGAATCGCTTGGTGACTTTTGTGGAAAATGTCGAGAATAGTGGGTATTGAGGGGGGAAATATGCTGACAAATAAAAAAAAATCCAATAATCCACCTCTTTTTCAATCTCCTTTTGAATTTTTTTTCGTGCCCTAGCTACAGTCACCCAAACCATCAAGAGCTCAAAAAGGAGTGGTTTAGTCACGTATTACGGTTCTAAACATCCAAATTCTACAATTCTACAATCCAATTCTACAACCCAAATTCTAGATCGAAATCTTACCTAACCTGCTAAATCTTTTAACCCAGAAACCCTAATTCCAAATGATTTGGCAAAACGAGAATAACAAGCTTCGAGGCTGGGTTGGATTGACTGGTTTATAGAGACGTTTAGATTTTTGACAACTTTATCGGTGATATGAAAGGCAAAGAAGTCCGAAGAAGAAAAAAAAGTGGAAAAACCGGGAAAAGTACAGAAACTCTAAAACTTTAACAATTTTAAAAGAAACAGGGAAAGAGCGGTGAAAACAATAAAAGGAGGAGGGAAAATTTAACAATAAACAATAATTTTACGGGGGAATAGAGAAAGGGAACATACGCACCCAAAAGAAACGGCAAAGCGCCATACCCGTCAACGATTTTTTAAAAGAATGAATTTTGAGGGGATAGGGCTTCGGCGGAAAAGTGGGACGCCTTCTCGACTACGGTAGCTTGGGTGTATTTTAGAATTTAGGGGGCTGGCAAGTTGCCAACACGAACTGCGGGAATTTGGGTTTATTCTTTATTGGATTTTATTCAATTTTCCACGTCATTAAGCTTTTTAAGCTTAAAGCTATGATACTATGATATTCTTTTAAACATTTCAAAGTAAGTTTACCTTTTTTTGTAGCCGAGAGTTGACAAATTAAGTACTTAAGTAAAACTGGGAAATCGTGAATCGAATTTGATTTCAGATTTGGTTCCACTTCTTACAAAGCTCGATCATCGACACCGTCGGGTTGAGCGAATCTTTAAGATTGATGTTATTTGTGTGCACCCTTCGATGAAAGGGTTTGGATTTTAAGAATTGCTTCATTGACGAATAAGGAGTTGAAGTAGTAGTCATAAGTCAATAGAGGAGTTGAAGTAGTAGTCATCAGTCTATTATTGTAAGAAAAGCTTGAATTAGTAGTGATGGCTGTAAATCAAGATCAACCAGGGTTCGATTGAAGACTGGGCTTCAGGACAAGTCAGGCATCTACCTGAACTCGGCCTGCATAAATTGGATTTGATCCAACCCTGAGCTTGATCGATTTTAGGCATACGGCTTGACGAGAATTAAGCGATTGGGAAAAGGTAAAATTATCAAGATCTGATTGGGCTTCAATCAACGAGGGTTCGATTGAAGCCTGGGATTTAGGACAAGTCCAGAATTGACCTGAACTCTGCCTGCATTAATAATTCTCGTCAAGCCGTATGTCTACGATAAAATCAATCAAGCTCAGGGTTAGAAAAAGTAAAAATGAAAAGCAATGAGCGGACTCGAACCAGGGAGGCTCGCTCAGGAGTGGTAGTCGTTGTTTATGAAGTGCTTGACTCGTAACGAAAAATAAATGTACTTTTTGGCACTTTTTGACACCTTTTACTCAAGTAAACCTTTCTAGGAAAGGTTTGGCGAAAGAGTTGATGAAGAGAATCTTCGAGAAAGCCGTTGAAGCTGATTGTGATGTTGTGGCCGCATGTGCAACGGCACAAGCAAGTCAAGCAATCTTCAGAAAAGTAAAGAAAACTGTGAATTGTTTTGTTTAATTGTTTAATGTTTTCCAGTTTGGTTTCGCAACAATTCGCGAGGTTCCATTTTGGTGTTTCCGCGAGAATCATCTGCCGATTTATCGCGATCTTTCCGATAAAGGATTAAGCGGGAAATTGATGGCAAAATGGATTAAATAAAGAAAATATTATCAAAGCTTTTAAATTATTATCATAAAAAATTAATATCACTAAAATTGAGCATAATAAATGTTGAAAATGGGAAAAAGTTAGGAAAATGGGAAAAAGTTATTGAGGTTAAGATTTAGTCACAATGTTAACACAAGAAAATTTCTAAATTTGATCAAACCAAAATCCTACCACGAAAGAGGAATCCGCAAATTGCCTGTAAAATGGGCAGAAGTCGTCAATAATAATCAATAATTCTAGATTTGATCAATTTTTAGGCTAATAACTTGAAGAAAAGTTTAGATTAAGGTGAAAATTTTTGTTAAAAAAAAGCTAAAGCTGACTAAAAACCGGCAAAAAAAAAGATTGAAATTGCACTGAAAGAATCAAAATTTAAATAGATATACAATTAGAGAAAAGACAAAAAAAGAGATCACAATGAAACATTAAGAAAAACGGACTAAGGCTGAAAATAGACAAAACAAGTGACTGGGGCTTTCCGGTGTTCACAATAAATCGGTGACGTGACAACGATGTACGAAAATGACGATCGACTACAAATGACATCCGGAGATTTCTCATCGAAAGCCGCCCTCACCGCCGAATAAACCAATTGTTTTGACGTTGATGGAGAGGAGGACATTGACTGGAAATGCAAATGAGAAGTGCATTGGCAAAACTACCGTACTCCTTAACATCGACAAGTTTCTTAAGACTTGCCTCGAGTTTTATTCAATCTACTAGCCGAAAAACCCCTAACGACGGGTTTTTCATCCCTGGATATCTGCAGGCGATTTTTGTCGCCGTGGTGCAGTCGGGAGCACGCTGGTTTACAGCCTACACGGTCCGGGTTCGATTCCCGGGTGTTTAACTCAACTTTGTTTTTTAAAAACTTTTTTAAATGGCACAACTACAATATATTCTAAGGTTTTCTAAAGAAGTTTTAGCTTTATTTGTCCCGTACAGACAGACAGACAGACACTGCTTTTTTTTATATATGTCGTAGCCGATTATGAATGAAATTTTTTGGCAAATCTTTCTAGTAGAGCAACCCTTTAATGTAGGAGGACAATATTATATCATTTTGTAGCGAATTGAATTCTGCGTCGATTGGTACCAAATTTGTGAGTTTAGGTTAAAAATTGCCGGCGCTACAACGTTTCATTCAAAATCGGCGGGACCCCCGTAGCCGATTATGAATTTCAGCCGATTATGAATGAGTGGGTCTAGGAGCGTCCAACCATCAAGTATTTGGTATCATTCAACGCAGAATCATTGATAATTATGTTAAATTTTTGAAATTAGAAAGATTGAATAAAAAGAACACAAATTATGGGGCTTCAAAGTTTTCTCTTGAAAAAAAACGGTTTTTTTGCTCTAATTTTTTTCTTTTTATCCAATCTTTCTAATTTAAAAAATTTAACATAATTATTAATGATTCTGCGTTGAATGATACTAAATACTTGATGGTTGGACGCTCCTAGACCCACTCATTCATAATCGGCTACGACATATACACATTTGATATCTTATAACTTCATAGAATAGGTTTATTAAAGAAAACTAGAGATTATGGTCGCTTTCAAAAGTGGCCACATTTTCGAAATGCAGGAGAACAAGCTCTAATTGTGAAAAATAGGTTTTACATCAAGTTTGACATAAATAATTCCAAGCCAAGTTGCAACCACTTGGAAAACTTGTAATGGTGATGTTATTCAGTAAAAGATGATTCAATAAATGATTTAGTACCAATTCTACGCACTCCACTCACTCAAATGGCTCGAGCAAAGCAACAAAATCATAGCTAATATAAATTTTGTCAAACAGTCAAACATTTTACCTAGCTAGTGAAATATTCTTGGATCAAAAATTGGCTAACTAGATGCTCCGCTTGTTTCATTTGATCCTCCAAACAATATTTGAAACGGAAAATTGAAAGCTATTGAAAGCTAAAAGAAGTAGAACAAAAGTCAAGCTCTCGACTCGAACCCTAGAGGATCCCCATTGGTCCTCTAGGGTTCGAGTCGCCTTGTATTCAAGCCAACTACCACTCGGACAGCACGACATCCCTCCAATCCCTTGGTAAGCCAAGTTATAAACTCCAGGTCTGTTTTCTGCGATTTCATACATAACTTTTGACAGAGTGCTGTGTTGCAAAAACGGAAAGCAGATTCTAAGTTGGTTAGTCACTTGGCCATTTGCTCATTTGGCCATTTGGTCATTTGGTCATTTGGTCATTTGACCATTTGACCATTTGACCATTTGACCATTTGGTCATTTGACCATTTGGTCATTTGGTCATTTGACCATTTCCCATTTGACAGGCCATTTGGCCCCTGTTCAAATTCTCTTGTCAGTTTTTGAACACTAACTAGTAAACTCAATCCTCACCTGGTGCATCAACGATCTCAACTTATCCGATGCGCATTTCGATGGATGTTCTCGTTTCATTTTCTGCGGTTTTCTCAATGATGGCAATGCATATTCCTTAAATAAGAATGGGCAATAGATTTTAGAGAAATCAATCGTGTATCCCAAGCATACTTTATATGACGGTGATGAGAAATGAGTGGATGTGGTTGTTGCACTTAGTGATTCTCCGTCTTTCTCAAAGCTTCTCCCTGCAAAGGGTTTACCAAATGAGCCAATATTTTGTTGACTATTTGATTTTGATTTTCTTTCTTTCTCTAGAGTTAAATATACTGTAATTAATAGAATTTTGTTCGAAAAATCACCAAAACTCGATCCGAGTAAATCATCGTAAATCTCCATTTCCTCATTTGTCATTTGACCTTTTTTCTAAAACAATTTGAATTGAAGAATTGAATTGAATGATTTGAATTGAATGATTTGAATTGAATGATTTGAATTGAATGATTTGAATTGAATGATTTGAATTGAATGATTTGAATTGAACAATTGGGATTCAATAATTTGAATTGAACAATTTGAACTCATCAATTGGAATTCAACAATTGGAATTGAACAATTTGAATTCATCAATTTGAATTGAACAATTTGGATTGAACAATTTGAATTCATCAATTGGAATTGAACAATTTGAATTCATCAATTTGAAGTGAACAATTTGAATTGAACAATTGAAGTTCAACAATTTGAATTCAACAATTTGAATTCAACAATTTGAATTCATCAATTAAAATCTTTCTTTCTTAAATCTTTCTTAAAACCCAACTCACTTTATTTCCTCCTCCTTCTGATCGCAAATTTAAACTCTCAAAAGATTCGTTGTTCATCTGAACGTTTAGATTTTATCTTTATTTAAATTTATGTAAGTTTTGGATCTTTTTGCTAAGCTTCATTACTCAAATAAAGTATATTTATTATTATTATTTATCTTTCAAAACCTGTTCTTTCAAAATCGATAATCCGTCAGCGAAAATCTCATTTTTCTTCACCGATGGATCGTTGAATTGAGAGGTTTTTTGAAGACTTGAACTAAAAAAATGTCTTTATTACATCTTGTAGTTCTTTTGAAGGCTATCGGACATTTGATACGCCCCCCGCCCCTTTTCCCTTCAGCAATTTAACTTTGAACTCAAATTTCTTGGTGTTAAGCTGTCCAATTTCAATATTCTTGATATCATTGGATGCGTCAAGTCTTTCTCTATCGATTGGTACAAAAACTATTTCAATTAAACAGCCCAACACCAAGAAATTTGTGCTCAAAGTTGGATTGGCAATGAGAAAGAAGCGGGCGGAAGCTATAAAAGGTCCGTCGCCCCGCCCCTTTTTCCATTAGCAATCTAACTTTGAGCTCAAATTTCTTGGTGTTGAGCTGGGCAATTTAAATAGTTTTTTTACCAATCGACAGATCAAATGCCCCAGAATCTCTTTTAAATGCCATAAATTTAAATCAATCACTCACTGCTTTGTTTTAACAGGCTTAATCGCTTCACTCAACCCTCCATCCTCGTAATCAATCGCTCCTTTTCTCATTGCTAACTCGAATTTCTCTTCCGATGTCAGTGTATCGGTTCGAGGCAACTGAACACGATTATCAGGGATCAGGGAAGGGCAAAGGCAAGGCGAAGCAAGGACAAAGCAAAGCAAGGACAAAGCAAAGCAAAGACAAGCTAGTAATACATATTATATATTCAAAGATAGAGTTGAATAGGTCTTTAATTCGACTCATGGCCTGAGATGGGCTGACCTAGTCACATTAGTTAGTTAGATCTAGTCTAGACTGACATAGTTCTAAATCTGACAAGGAAAACTTCCGAACTTCCGATCAGAACATTCTTTGAGTATTTTTGTTGAGTCAACTGTTGTCTAATAGCTGTCAAATCGTTTTGAGAGACTAGATTTTCCCAAAAAAAAAACTCATCAAATTTCCTTTGATCTCGTTTACAGACTTACTCTAACTTGTTGATTTTGAAATGTGTCATCTTTGTATCCATTTTGAGGATTTGGCTCGTCAACTCTAAAAGGATAAAGTAGAAAATTTTTGTTTCCTTTTTTTTTTTTTCCATTTCCTTACGCAGATTTTTCCACCGATTCATATGATTCATAGGAGTCTGTCTGAGGATTCGAAAAGCCTGAAATAGTTTAGATGATCTCAAATCCATTAATTTTTATCCCAATCTGTCAATTTTCACCTCCATCATTTCGATTTAGCATCTCTTCATCGTAACTCTCACCATCCGGCTGTTCGACTCTGAAAAAAAAAGAAGATAAGATGCAATGTTTCACAAAAATTTCAAAAACCCATTTGTTTGTCCTTTTGAAAGAGTCGCTTCGGTCACCGATTGTAAAGCAGCTCCGTTTTCGTTTTCGTTTCGTCCATACTAAATGATTATTTGACGAAATTACAATTTCAAGCTCAATATTGAAGATAAATCTTGAAAGTATTGTTCAAATTTGCATGAGAATCAGCAAAAGCTGCAGCAGCTTGTAGCAAAAAACATCTATCGATCCTTTGCTGTTGGCAATTTAAGATTTTTCGTGTTTTTCTCAGCACCAACCCTTCGATTTGGACTATTTTGACTATCATTCGATGCAGAATAAAATTGCGCATCGAATGGTACCAAAACCAACTCAGAATGTAATATCCATGTAAAGTTGTGAGGCAAAAGGCCAACCTCTGCCCATAAAGAGCGGACTTTAGGTTTTTAGCCAACAACTTTGCATGGATATTACATTCTGAGTTGGTTTTGGTACCATTCGATGCGCAATTTTATTCTGCATCGAATGATAGTCAAAATAGTCAAAATCGAAGGGTTGGTGCTGAGAAAAACACGAAAAATCTTAAATTGCCAACAGCAAAGGATCGATAGATGTTTTTGCTACAAGCTACATTCTGCATCGAATGATAGTCAAAATCGAATGGCTGGTGTTGAGAAAAATCTTAAATTGCTCGCAAAAAGATGTTTTCTGACAAATGTTTTCGTTAAAGTCTAGCAACGACTACGCGACTGTACGCTTTAAATTCCGTCTAAATGTGTTAAACTAAACCTGAATCTCTGAAGGAAAAGTGGTTGCCGGTTGTTGAATGAATTGCGGAGGAGAATAAGGAGGAGACTGTGATGGAATTGGAAGAGGTGGAAGTGGAAGAGGTGGAAGTGGAAGAGGTGGAGGCGGAAGAGATGATCGAGGCGGAGATCGGTTCTGTCAAATTTCAGAGGTTTTTATCAAATTTCTTTTCCTTTTCATCTAAGCAAGTGATTCGACTCGGATGTAATTATTTTCAAAGACAACTCGCGCAGACAACTCGCGCAGACAACTCGCGCAGACAACTCGCGCAGACAACTCGCGCAGACAACTCGCGCAGACAACTCGCGCAGACAACTCGCGCAGACAACTCGCGCAGACAACTCGCGCAGACAACTCGCGCAGACAACTCGCGCAGACAACTCGCGCAGACAACTCGCGCAGACAACTCGCGCAGACAACTCGCGCAGACAACTCGCGCGACAACTCGCGCAGACAACTCGCGCAGACAACTCGCGCAGACAACTCGCGCAGACAACTCGCGCAGAAACTCGCGCAGACAACTCGCGCAGACAACTCGCGCAGACAACTCGCGCAGACAACTCGCGCAGACAACTCGCGCAGACAACTCGCGCAGACAACTCGCGCAGACAACTCGCGCAGACAACTCGCGCAGACAACTCACCACTTGTGCGTATTGTGGTTGTTGAGCTGGTTGGAGAATCGGTTCAAGCATTCTATAGGTTTGAGGCATAGGATTGAATTGCACGAGCTAAAGTGAAAATTGTAGACAAAAAATTGTAGACAACTTGTCCAAAAGCTTGTCCAAAGACTTGTTAAAAAGGATTTACAAAGATTTACCGGTCTAAGCGGTGAATAGGTTGCGGAAAAATGTTGCTGTTGTTGCTGTGATTGGGCTGGTTTGGCATAGAATTGTCTCGGAAATGGGATTTGTGGTTGTTGAATTGGGTATGTGGATGGAGATAGATATGGAGGACTTGGCGGGGGGTAGAAACGTTGAGAATATTGTGGGGAACCTGTAAAGATGAGGGTGGGAAATGAAAATCTTGAATTTTTCGATGTTTAGTCGGCTTTTTACAAGTTTTCCTCCAAAAAACCCAAATCATAAGGTAATAATTTTTTGATTTAAATAAGAATAAAAAGAAATGAGGAAGCTTTACTTGAAAGCTTGAAAAGAAATTCGAGTCGACTTTAAAAACAAACCTTGACAACTCGGGCAAAACATTTGACAGGGTTGAGTCGACGGTTGAGCCGAGCACGATTGAGGACACTGAAAAGTGGAAATGAAGAGGTTGGATTAATATTAGAAAGCTGTCTGTTTGTTGTGTTTGTTTATTAGAATATGATTACCGTAAATACCGTAATAGTACCCCACCTCCATAATGACGGTGCGGAGCGTTAGGTAGTCTAGCTTTGAACGAGTTTTTCTTGAGACTGGTTTATGCTACAATGTTCGCTTAGGTGTCAAAAAATAGCTGAAATTCAGGGCTATTTTTTGATACCTAAGCACGCATTGTAGCACAAACCAGTGTCGAGAAACATTCGTTCAAAGCTAGACTACGCAACCCTGTATAATATTATATTATAGTCTAGCTTTGAACGAGTTTTTCTCGACACTGGTTTATGCTACAATGTTCGCTTAGGTATCAAAAAATAGCTGAGATTGAGGGCTATTTTTTGATATCAAAACGAACATTGTAGCCTAAACCAGTGTCGAGAAAAACTCGTTCAAAGCTAGACGACGCAACACTCCGCACCGTCATTATGGGGCTGGGGGAATATTACAGTATTTACGGTATATTATAATATTATAATTATAAACGGTATAATATATAGTTTTTTAAGTCTCGAAAACTTTCTCACATCACATCCACCGCCAAAAAGATCGCTGAAAAAGGGGCCGAGCATTGCGCGAACACGGTAGAGAAGAATCAAGAATAACAAGAAATCGGGACGCATTTTGAAGAAATATTAGTTATTGTAAAGAAATATTGTTCGCGTGCTTGGTAATCTTCACTCTTCACACGTTATTTCTTGTTTCGAGATATCTGATCTCACTTGAACTACTAAATAAAAACATTTTATTCAATAGCCGACTGACTCGGAAACTTTGGGCTCTCACTTGAGCAATTTTCACACAAGATCGACAATTGAATTAAAAGCGACGATAAAAAACAGAAAAAAATTTCGTCCTAATTAGGACAAAACTTTCACACGATGAGAGGAAAGCAGAAAGAAAATGAAAGATAACCGAACCAAATGAACAACAGTTGTCTTACATATGTCGTAGCCGATTATGAATGAAATTTTTTGGTAAATCTTTCTAGTAGAGCAACCCTTTAATGTATGAGGACAATATTATATCATCCTGTAGCGAATTAAATTCTGCGTCGATTGGTACCAAATTTGTGAGTTTAGGTTAAAAATTGCCGGCGCTACAACGTTTCATTCAAAATCGGCGGGACCCCCGTAGCCGATTATGAATGAGTGGGTCTAGGAGCGTCCAACCATCAAGTATTTGGTATCATTCAACGCAGAATCATTAATAATTATGTTAAATTTTTAAAATTAGAAAGATTGGATAAAAAGAACACAAATTATGGGGCTTCAAAGTTTTCTCTTGAAAAAAACAGTTTTTTTGCTCTAATTTTTTTTCTTTTTATCCAATCTTTCTAATTTTAAAAATTTAACATAATTATTAATGATTCTGCGTTGAATGATACCAAATACTTGATGGTTGGACGCGTCCGGACTAGCTCATTCATAATCGGCTACATGTCGTAGCCGTTTACGAAATTCAGCCGCTAACGAATGAGGGGCTTCCGGGCATCCAATCAAAAAGTCACCCACATAAAAAATGTTCATAATACATATATTTTATAATAAATTTTTGAAATTAGCTCATTTGGTTCAGTAGAAAAATTTTTTCGAGCCCCCAAAGTTTAGATTCAAAAATCGCTATAAAAAATTTTCTACTCAGCCAAAAAACTTGCCTAATAGCTCATTTTGTAGCCAATTTGATGTAGTTTCTTAAAGTAAAGTTACATTAAACATTTGTTTTTCAAAGCTAGGAGAAAGAGGGCGAGGAACGACTTCAGTTGAACTCGGTCGCTGTTTTCACATTTGAGAATTGCCCTGAATTTGTTCCTCGCCCTCTTTCTCCTACTTTCGACGAAAAATTGTTTTAGATGGCTTTAGTCTAAGAAACTACATCAAATTGGCTACAAAATGAGCTATTAGGCAAGTTTTTTGGATGAGTAGAAAATTTTTATAAGGCATTTTTGAACCTAAACTTTGGGGGCTCAAAAAAAAATTTTCTACTGAACCAAATGAGCTAATTTCAAAAATTTATAGGCTACGACATATAGGCTTTAACCCAAGATACTCAGCTAACAAGCTACAAAACAATAAATGATTTGGGGGCGCGAAATCGAATGAAGGCGCACCGATTTCCTCAATATTTCTCTAATTTTTTAGGCTGCCAGAGTTAGGTAACTTTTTAGTGGCTGGATAGCCACTAAAAAGCCACAGTTATTATAATAATAATCTATTGTAATATTTTGAAGAAATGATCCGTGAAAGAGCTCTAAACAAAAGCTCATCGATTTCTTGTGAAAGGAATCGAAAACAGAAGGGAAAATCAATTTTCACATCAACATTTTCAAAAATCAATGCCGAAATGCTGCAAAAATCTCTTCATTTCTTTAATTGCTATTTCAAAAATAAAGAAACATTGTCAAAAATCAATTCGAAACACGAAAAAACACGAAAAAACAAGAATTTCAAGAATAATCTCGATTTTTGTTCCAGAAAATCAACGGTTTTCAAGAGAAAACCTTTTTAAACAATATACAACCGTTGATTTTCGTTGAAAAGTCAAGTAAAAAGAAAACAATTATCGGTTGAAGTGAAAAAGAAAAGAAAACTGGATGATATGCGGGGATTGAGAAGGGGGAGAGGATAGCAATTTCAATGAGAAAGAGGAGATGAGATGGAATTGATACCATGAATCAAATCAAATTGTCAATGCTCATTTTCAATGCTCAATTCCAATGCTTTTAATGCATAGCAAGCAAGTTTAATGCATAGCAAGCAAGTAAATTACAAACTTATTTAAATACAAATTTATTTAAATACAAAGTTTGCTTAAAACAAAGTTTGAATGTTTTTTTACTTAAAACTTTCGCAACTTACTAGTTTTTATTATATTTAGTTACTTTTTGGTTACTAGTTTATTTAGTTACTAGTCTACTTAGTTACTAGTTTACTAGTTAAAAGTGAAAGAATGAGAAAGAGAAAGCGTTAGAGAAAGCGGAAAAGTTTGCAAAAGCGGATTTGTCGAGGTATCGAATGGAGAAGTCGAAAAGAGAAAAGAGTCGAAAATCCAAAAATTAGTGGTCATCCGGTTCGTCGAAATGTCTGTCGAAACTTGTAAAAGTCTGAGAACTAACTGGATACATTTTTCAGACTTTTTGAAGCTTCTTCTCTTAAATAAAACGAGCCTCAAGCGGCATTACTATTCTCAATTTGATATAAAACAATATGATCATGAAAATGTTCATTTTTTCCTTAAAAACGGCTAGTTTTCTTTTCTCTAAACTTACAAAAATCAATTAAAAACAAGTTTTTAAAGAAATTTAAAGAAATTTAAAGAAAATCATGAGAATTTAGGGTTTAGCTAGCGTAAATATTGTTAAAAAACAGGAAAATGAATGAAATAAAAGAATCTTCTATAAATAGAAGAATCAATTAATTATTTTTCGTTATCTAAACGCGCAGAAACAAACCTACTAATGACAAGATACGAGCATTTGTTTGAGTGTAAACTTAGACTACGCGACGCTCCTATAGGGGGGCTTCGGTTCTTTTCCGTTAAACATCGACAAAATCAAACCCCCAATCATTTCCTTTATAAAACCACCAAATTTGCATCCTACCATGAAAATGAGCAAGGAAAACCACGGAAAATTTCACTCTTTTGCTATTTCCTGACGACGCGGTGGATTCATGTTTCGCTTACCGACTACCGAGACCGATCCAATCTCATTCTTTCAACAACGCACATCCGCCAACCATCACGTTATGAAGATATCGCTGAATCAGAATCCCCGATGGGGATGTGACTGGACGACGTGCCGGACAGCGATCCGCCTGTGTGTTGGCTCATAGATGGAGGGCACCAAAATTCCGTTTCTCACAATCCTACGATTCATCTATGGATGGACTCAACAGTGGACCTCGATCGACTATTTTGTGAAAGAATTGAAGATGAATCACAACATCGCGGTCGACAAGAACAAGAAGCATCGGCACGTCATTTCCTATCGAGCTACCTCGCTGAATTCATCGACAAGAAGTGGGAAAGGACAATTTCTACAAATGGACAAAATGTCGCACTTTTTTGTTGGATAGGCTTAGACTTAGATTTAGGCTTAGGCTTAGGCTTGGACTTAGGCTTAGACTCAGGCTGAGGCTGAAGCTTAGGCTTATGCTTATGCTTATGCTTATGCTTAGGCTTAGGCTTGGACTTAGTGCGAAGGCTAGCGGCTAGCGCCTCGCACAAAGTCTATTTGGGTTTGGGCTGAACCCCCATTTTCTGGATCTCAGCCGGTTTTAGGCTTAGGCTTAGACTTAGACTTAGGCATTTACATCGAAAATTCCCAGATCTACTAGTAGACTTTCCAAAATACAAATCCAAACCTAGATTATTTCATTTTACAGAAAAAAAAAGTCAAAAGAAACAATGAGAGGCTCAATTTTCCCTCCAGAACAGCACAATGGCATTGAATGAAAAAAGAAGAAGTACTTGATGAGTCTTTTCTCATCTCTTTTATTATTTCTTTTCATTCTGACCGAACCTTTTCTTTTTTTGCTTATAAACCGAGAAAGAATGAGTCAAAAAGAAAGAGAGACTAGTTCTGAGAAGAAATCGCATGAATTTGTGTGGATGAGTGTCGATTCTCTCGCTCTCTGAACCAAACAATGCCCACCGATGGCTATTCAAATGAGCAATAAACCAATTTCACAGCAATTCCACAAAAAAAAGAGTAATTTCAAATGGATTCTCTGTTAAGAATGCTTGCAATTTACATTTTTAGACCTAGAATTATAGATTTAGATTCGTAAAAATCTGTTTTGTCGACTTTTTTTTATTAATAATAATACTTTATTCAAACGATAAAGTGAAAGAAATGATAGAGAAATGCACAGTGATACTTAATCATACAATACATACTGAAATCAATAAGCCAATTACTTACGGCAAAGAGCCACTAGATCTAAAGCATCGATACGTTTCTTGAATATGAAAAGCGACTGAATTTCTCGTATGTCGTTTGGGAGCAAGTTCCATAATCAAGCGGCTCTAACGGGAAATGAATTTGATAAAGAGGCATTGGAAGCAAAGGGAATTTGCAAAAGGAATGAGCCACTTCTGGGCCCTGACCGATTTTTATATTAAATTTATATTAATTTTTATATTATATTATTAAAATTAGATTTTTATGAAAAGTAAAAAGAATTTGAATTTGAATCTTCTTATTGGCTTTGTTTGCTGATCGATTTTTTGTTTAATTAATTAAAGTATTTTTGTTAGAATTAGATTCTAACAACTTTAACATCAATTGAATGTGAAAAGACTTTTGCATATGACTGTATCAATAGATAGATAAATAAAATCTCCACCAAAATTTTGGTGGACCTCGAGGAAATCACCCTCAACACCAGAAACTACACCCAAAATACAAGACTTTTTTCTTTTACTACTCTTTAATTGGCTCAGCCATTTTTTCTAAAATCGTGCTCTTAGTTAAATTCTAAGTTAAAATCGGCCCTCTTTGGGGCTTCTTACAGCCCTCTTTTCGGCGCGATCAGTTATTAGTTTGCTTGCCTAGAGGCCTGAGAATAGGACGGCATAGCCAAGTGGTTAGCGCGCTCGCCTCTAAAACCGGGCCGGAGTGAAGGGTTCGGGTTCGACTCTTTTGGGAGATTTGTTCCACATTTACAAATTTTTTTTTATAGAACATACCAACGTTGGGCTGGGTAGAAGGCCTTGGTTGATCAACCAACGTTGAGTCGTTGATAAAAGCCGCCATGAGGTGGCTATTATTAGCGTGTAGTAAATAAATAAAAAATAAGTTTCAATAACACTTTTTCATTGAACTTTAAGCATTGAATAGGATAGAAAAGGATAGAAATCTCGATTTTAAGAGTTTAAAGTGATATTTCACAAGCAAATTATGAAAAGCAACTATGGTGTATCAACTATTTTTAAGCTTTCAAACAAAAAAAAGGAAATTTCAGCAAAAAAACAGCAGGATTTCGAATACGTTGCGTCCAAATTACTTTCTAAATGCTTTATAGGATGCGCTTTCCCTTTTTTGTGTACCATTTCACTCAAAAAAACAAAAATTTCACCGAAAATGCGTCTCCCGGTTTGGAATTCGCCAAAATGTCAACATCGAAACTTGCCAGTGTTTCAAGTTTTACAAGCTAATCTTAAAATGGAAATGAAGAACCTTTAAAGGAAATTGGGGTACATGTTAGCGTCATGTTATTGTTATGCTATCGTTATGTTATCATTATGTTATCGTTATGTGATCGTTATGTTCTCGTTATGTTCTCGTTATGTTATTGTTATGTTAGCGTTATGCTATCGTTATGTTAGCGTTATGTTATCGCTATGTAAATGTATTGTACATGGTACATGTTATCGTTATGTAAATGTTGTTATGCAATAGGTATGCAAATGTATCGATGAAAAGATTGCATTCAGCTTTAGAAATTGTTCTTAGAGTTGCTAGCGTAGACTTTTTAAACATAGTTTCCCTAAAAGAAAATAAGATTTTCCCGTGTCGAGTGGAGTGGATGAATTGGAGAAATGACTGCAGCCTCTGCATCACATTTGTATCCGTATTAGCATTTGATCTTATGCGTAAATCTAAATCTATCAAGGCAAGTAAAGCCATGTAATCTGCATCGATAAAATATTTTAAATTGCCTTTCAGATTTCCTCCACTCCATTTTTAAATACTCTCTTTTCATTCCCCAATTTGCGGTGATTCCAAGCGATAGGCTATCGCTGAGCTTGAGATCTTAAGATCCTGAGCTTAAGATTGGTCTATCCCAATCTGCCAAGTTAAGCAAACATCAGCTTCGGCTAGTCTCTGGTTCAACATTTTTGTCGACTAGTCAGCTAGTCGCTAGTGCGACAGTTCGCTATTGCATTTTCAAACTAATCTGTAACTTCTCCACTGCTTTTCATTTGCACCGCTTTTTAAGCTATTAAGCTATTAAGCTATTTAAGTCGAAATCCTTATCTTTTCCCAATTTCTTTCCCCACTTTCAAAAGCAAGCAACATAAAAATAGAAGAAATCCGTAAATGGGTAAAATGTTTTGTCTATTTATCCTCGAGATTGATTGTTTGATTGTCGGTAAGAGATTGAAGTGAGTGCCTGTTCTCGACAAGAGGGAAATGGTAGTTATTTGTTAAAGTGATTTCCCCTTTGACCTGTTAATCTCTTGGCTGGATGTAGACAGTAAAATGAAGGGCCAACAACCGGAAATCGGATGGATAAAGAAATGCCGACAGAGGGGGGAAAAGAAGGGGAAAAGAAGGGGAAAAGAGAGGCAAAAGAGAGGCAAATAAAGGGAGAAAAGGTATTGAGTTGCATGATGAAGATACGGTAGTTTTCGTGTAACAAATGTATCATTTCTGGGTTTCATTTTAGAATTGTTTTGGGTTAAAATCGATTAAAGTTACACCGGGAATCGGGCTGTCCTTTCTGAATTGGTCCTTTCTGAAACAGTGGTTTTAATCCTTGCCTCCAGTCCAATTGTTTGTAACTCCAAAAGTCTTGAACAACTTCTCAAAAAGCTCCATTGGGAGACTTCCCTACTGCCTATTGTAGGTAAATTTCCAGCAAAGCTTTCTAATCTCTTGCCTTTGTCTTCTATCATCATCCATCATCTTGATCATCATCCGTCATCGATTCCTTGTAGAAGTGACGGATCTTTGCCTTGAACGGATTCCAGGAACAGTCCACGTGACATCACCCAGTTAAATGTCCTAATTTCTCTAGAGTAAGCCGAAAGAAAAGTGTAAAGACGGAGTATCTCGTTGGCTGTAGAAGGATTACGTGATGTGCTTTGATAGATTTTTCCGTAGGGTTGACAAAAAGCCAAATTTCCAGGCCAGGCTAAGTCAAGGTTTTAGGCAAAATTCAACGATAAAGTTGAAATTCTTTGTCTTTGGCTCTTTGCCATCCAAAGCCCTTGTGATTCAAGAACTACCCTCAACACAGACCTAACACCACATAGCTGCTACTACTTGTGATATCATATCTAAATCGCATAGTGCTTGATCCGAAAATCGGGTACTAACGTGCCTCATTCGTGCTACACAACATCACTCTCCTCCAACGCTCTGTTATCATTTTGACATCACCCAAGAATTGAGACAAGATTACGATTGTTTTTAGCACATCGACAACCGCGTATATTTTGCGAAACGGCTGATTTAGAATGCCGAATGAATAATGAAATCCCAGAAATTTGTAAATAAAAGCTGAAAAGACTCTAGAATCCGAATCCGGTTGTTATATAATGAATAAAGATATTTAAGTTAAATTTTCGAGATGGGTTGTCTCTTCTCTCTCTTCTGTCTCTTCTCTTCTCTCTCTTCTCTTCTCTCTTCTCTCTCATCTCGTGTCTCTTCTCTCATAAAAGCTGAAAAGACTCTAGAATCCGAATCCGGTTGTTATATAATGAATAAAGATATTAGTAACTCGAGAGGGGCCCCCGAGAAAGAAGTCTTCGGATGGTTGTTCCTCTCTCTTCTGTCTCTTCTCTTCTCTCTCTTCTCTTCTCTCTTCTCTCATAAAAGCTGAAAAGACTCTAGAATCCGAATCCGGTTGTTATATAATGAATAAAGATATTTAAGTTAAATTTTCGAGATGGGTTGCATATTTGGTTAAAAGCCAGGCCTTTTGTGTGTCGCGGTAAGTCTTGGTTACGCTGTCGAATCCGAATTCGGGCTTCAACAAAAAAAAGTCTTGTATTTTGGTGTAGTTTCTGGTGTTGCGGGTGATTTCCTCGAGGTCCACCAAAAGTGTGATGCAGATTCGATTTTATTTATGGATTAAGGCCAATAAACTCCATATAGTTCATTTTCACATTTTCGCAAACCACTCGGCCATGCCGTCCTGTTGTCAGGCTTCAAGGCAAGCAAGAAGAAATGATTTGAAAACTGATACACGCTGATAATAGCCACCTCATGGCGGCTTTTATCAGCGACTAAACGTTAGTTTATCACCCAAGGCCTTCTACCCAGCCCAACGTTGGTATGTTCTATCAAAAAATTTGAAAATGTGAAACAAGTCCCAAAGCATCGAAGAGCATAGAGCTTTCCTATTAATTATTTACCGAATCAGCTAAACGTGTTAGACTAACCAAAGCTCGATTTTTTTTTGCCCCAGTAGCTCAGACAGGGCAAACACAAAACGAGCGGTAAACAGGATTTGTGACATTTGGGGGTATCATCCGGGCAAATATGCAGACGTTTCCCTATTATAGAGATCAGTAAAGGACAGGAATAGAAAAATCAGGAGTATTAAAGCTGTAGAAAAGCTGTAGAAGTTGTAGAGGCTGTAGAAGCTGTAGAAAAGCTTTTTATTGAATCTTCAAAGATTCATTATCGTTCGGGTTTTAAAATGAACCTTGAAAGAACTAGGAGAAGAAAAAAGGAGTGAAAGAATTGGAAATTAAAAAGAGACGACTTGAACCCTCGACCTGGTCCTTGGCCGTTTGCTTTAGAGCCAATTGCTCTAACCACTGAGCCATCCGGTACCTTGACTTCCCGAGAGAAAAAGGGAAAGACAAGGGGGAGGAAAGGGATAAAGAAATAAGACGAAAGTTTTTGTTTTTCATTGTCTAAACATTTTCTAGATTACGGTAGTTTTTTTAAAGGGCTACGCTTTAGAAAGTACGCTAATATCTACAAAACATTTACATTAGAATACTACAGTAACCTTATGCTACAGACAGACACTACAATATCCTTGGGAACGTTTTCGATGACTGTCACTATTCCACTATTCATCCCACTACAGTATTTTATTTGATCATCACAACTACAGTACTCTTTCTGTCCAGACACTTGAGTCTTTTGCTGGGTCTTTTGCTAAACCGACTGTGACTCTATCGATACAAAGCCTCATGAGAGAAAGAAGCAAAGAAAAGGCGGAGTCTCTTCTCGGGTCATTGATAATCCCAATCCAAAAAGAAGTGCCTTTTTTTGGACATGCTTGATCAACCATTTCGGCTTATTCCTGAATAACCAATTCGAGATGACCGGCTTGCCACATCACAATCAATGGAATTATCCATCCACAAATCAGGTGAGATTTGAGAAGACTTGAAAATCGACTAAAAATGACTGGACTTGAGCCTTGATCCTGTAAACTTTCGAGCTTTCGAGCTTTCGAGCTTTCGAGCCTTCGAACTTTAGAGCTTTTGAGCCTTCGAGCTTCGAGCTTTCGAGCTTTCGATCTTGTTAACTTTCGAACTCTCGATCTTGTAAACTTTCGATATTACAGTATCCCAAAAGGCTAAATGTTCAGCTAAGTGTTCAGCTTTTTTTTCAACTCAAATCCTTCAGCTGAGTTGTTTCAGCTGTTGTTGTTGTTCATGCCGTTGTTTCAGCCGTTGTTTCAGTCGTTGTTTCAGCCGTTGTTTCAGCATACTGTAATGAGAAAAAGCCAGGAATTTCTTTTGTATCACAAGGAAATCTGATAGAATTCCGATTAAAATGAGCACAATTGCCCCAGCACAATTGTATCAAAAATGGCTTCTGAAATCGTTCAAACAAGAATGTTAGCTATAAGAAAAAAGACGCTATAAGCTATAACTTTCAGCCACACTCCCTCCACCTCCCCCCATCCACTCAACAATTCCCCTTTCTCGAGCCATTCGATCCTCCCACTTCATCCACTTCTTCAGAAGGTGAGAGTAAAAGAATTTAAATGCAATTCGGCTTTTGCCAGAGCAGCATTTTGACACCATTTGACAATCAATCAATGACAATTCCAGGCTCTCTATCGGACACGGCAATCTTCGGCGAAGTGAATCAATTGGGAGGAGTGAGTGGAAAGAAAATGAATAGTTTTCAGTTCTTAAGTTCTTAATTTCTTTTAAATCTTTTAAAACAATAGCTTTCTAGGTTTTCGTGAACGGTCGCCCGCTTCCAATTAATTTACGCGTTCGAATCGTCGAGTTGTCTCAGTGCGGCGTTCGTCCGTGTGACATCAGTCGAGAGCTTAAAGTCTCGCATGGATGTGTGAGCAAGATTTTGGCCAAGTTAGTCAGCTTTCGAGCAACTCTGTCATTCAATGAAGGGATTTAAAACTCGCTTCAGATTTCACGAGAGTGGTAGCGTTTATCCGGGAGCGATAGGCGGAAGCAAGCCGCGAGTGACAACTCCCGAGGTGGGTGAGCAAGCCTAGGGCTTTCTATGGGCCTAGGGTTTTCTAAATACCGTAATCTTGTTAGTTTTTCTTCAAACTGTTTACTTTTCTGCCCAGAATTAAATTTAATGTACTCGAATTATCAAGGGCCAAAAATTAGTGACTTTTGGGGATTTTTTTATGCGATTTTCGATGCAATTAAGTTTCTTTTTAACCTATAATTTATATTTAAAGCATTTCAGAGTGAAAAAGCTCAAGATTTCATTTATTTGACTAGGAAAAGGCACCAGCTCAAGGTGACCATTTAATACGAGAGCCACGGGGCTTTATAGAACCGGCTTTGCTGATTTTGACAAGGGAAAGTCAACTGGATAGGCTGGCCAAATGACATGAGCCATAAACCTATGGACGCAGAATTTCACGCTGAATCCGAATCTGCTTTCCGTTTTTGCTAAACGTTGCTCTGTCAAAAGTTATAAGCCTGTAAAGTTTTGTATGGGATTTTAAAAATCATCCCTCGAGTTTATCAGCAGATTTTCCAAAGACATTAAAAAGCATTGGTGGCAGAGTGGTAGTCGACTGGGATACGAGGCGAACAGTCTCGGGTTCGAGTCCGCAGTTCAAATTTTTTTTTGCCTTTTTAGGGGTAATTGCTCTCCATTTCCAATCCAAGTCTTTTTCAAAGTACTTCTCATAAAAATCTTTACTTTTCACTATTAACATTGGCACTATGCTGGTTGGGGGGCACTTTTTTTATTCAAAACCTTTCTTGCTGGGGTGGCTTTATGCGTAGATCCCGAAAAACACAACGAGAGCTTGGGAAAGGGTGTTTTAAGGTGAGTTTCGGGGCTCCAAAGTGCGCGCTCATACAGTGTAATAAGAGGGACACACTCTCATCATTTTCTCAAAGAAACTAAGAAGAGTTTCCGGGAGAACTCGAACCAGGGCAACGGTGGACTCGAACCAGTTTCCCAAGACGAGCACACTATCCCCCGCGGCCACTAGCTCTCTTTTTAACGAAGAGAGAAAAAGCTTATAGCTTATAACGACTCCGAAAATCGGGTTAAACTTTGATGTCAGATATCTCGCGTTACAGAGCTCATTAAGAAAAAGTAAAAGCATATTCAGAATCAGCATAACCGTTTCTATAAAGCCTCTCATATTAAAAGGCCATCTTGACCTAGTTAGGCGTATTAAAAGGGTATCTTGACCTAGTTAGGCGTATTAAAAGGCCATCTTGACCTAGTTAGCCGTATTAAAAGGCCTAGACCATGCGAGTGATTAAAAGGCCTTATCTAGACCATGCGAGTGATCTAGATAAACCGAAAAAATGAAATGGAAAATGAAAATTTTCGGATTTCGCTCTAACACAAAAACAGTCGTACATACGATGCTTTTCACAATAAAATCATTTCTCATTCATTCTTTCAATTCCTTTCGCTTCCTTTACAGGTAATCGAAAGAATTCGTTCACTGAAAGCCTCAGATCCATCTCTATTTGCATGGGAGATTCGAGAGAGACTCATTTCTGATAGGGTAAGTAAAGAAAAAGAAAGAAAGGAGAAAGAAAAGAGAAAGAAAGAAAGGAGAAAGAAAGAAAAAGCACGAGAAATGATAGAGAAAATCAAATGAAAGAGAGGCAATGATTTCTTTTCTTTTTCTGGGTTTATTCTAAATATTTACCCTCTCTCATTCGCTTCTCATTCACTCGTTTGGCTGCAGAAAATCGTTTAAGCTTCTCCATATTCTCTTATCAAATTCGTTTATGAATTTAATTAGTATAAATTGTTAGAGCCTTTTATATTTTCCATAGTTAAAATTTACTTTTCAGAAGATTACCTAACATCAAGAATTTTCTTTTTGACTGAATACCTACCGTAAATACTGTAATAGTACCCCACCCCCATAATGACGGTGCGGAGCGTTGGGTAGTCTAGCTTTGAACGAGTTTCTCTCGACACTGGTTTATGCTACAATGCGCGTTTAGGTATCAAAAAATAGCTGAAATTCAGGGCTATTTTTTCATACCAAAGACGCATTTTTTGGAAGTACGGGCGCTTTGAAAAAAAAATGAAATACTAAAAAACTTTTGCGGCTACGCGACTGTACGAGGAGGGTGGGGTACTATTACAGTATTCACGGTAGTTTCATTGTAACTGCTAAAGTAAAAATACCTAAAAACTCAAAATCTCAAAGTCTCAAACAAAAAGAAATAAACTCTTTTCAGTTAATTTCCGCCGAATCTGTTCCATCAGTCTCATCGATCAGTCGCATTTTGCGAAACAAAGTTCCCCGTTCAGGTGAGTCAAAACCGATAAAAAGTAGCTGTTAAAAGTTATTTGGCTATGAAATACTTTCATTGAAAATTCAAATATTCAAATGCTTTTAGTTGTTTCTTCCTCAAATCATCCATATTCTCAAAAATGGCCTCACGATCAATTGCTACGACTTAAAGAAAGTGAGTTAAATGAAGCGAGACGATAGAAGTTTTCAATAACGCTTTCAGATTCTTCTCTTTTATATTTTCCGACATTCGACAATGATCAAAATGGCTCAAGCCAATGATTCGATGTGGTCTCAAATAGTTTTGGACTTTTTTTGTAAATTGACATTTTGCACATACGGTATTGCCTGTAATAACCCCAATTCTCATAGTCTGAGCCCCATCTTAGAGGTGGTTTGGAAAAAGCTCGTAGTTTAGTTACGGGCATACGGCACGCTTTGTTTTCATACATCTTGAATTGGTTATTTGTTGTGATCTCCTCGATTGCCTACCATAAGATCTGTAATAGATACATTTATGAGACAAACTCGAATTTAGTTCTGCCTCGAATTTCCATTTTCCCAATACAATTTATATCTTTTCGTCTTCTTTATGCACACCTGCTTTGCTCACTGGAACTGTAATCTTACAGATTCGTCTCTTTTGCATGAATTTTATTTGGAATTTTTTTACCTTGCACTCTTTAGTGATTAATTCTTGTTGGACGGCTACCGCCATGTGCCTTGTGTTGAAAACAATTTCACTTTTCGATTCTCTTTCTAAATTTCGCAATAAAATGTATCACAATAAGCTAAAAGTACGAAAAAACAACTTGAGCAAAATACAATCCAGTAACAGTCTAAAACTAGAAAATCAACAATAAAACTAACAAAAGACATTTTTTTCCCTTCTTAATCCACGCTCATTTCATCAACAACAGTTCCCTGAAAGAGAAATTAACAAAATTTGAAACACACAAACTTACCATAAATTGATAACCTTAGCCGCTTTCTGTCTGACTATCCTTTTCTTGTGCGCTGTGAATCGAATAACAACAGTAACTACCTTAAAATATTTTTAAGTGTAAAGAAAGTCTTATAAAGACACGCAAACCTTGTTAATATGTGCTTGAAGGTAGACAGGGTTTGCTTCACTCGCAAGGATTTCGAGTCCATTTAAGCTGTTCACAATTGTCGCCTGAAAATTGAAAGTGAAACCTTTTATTGTTTTAAAATATTCGTTTTTTAAAAATAAACGTCACTTTTCTTTGTAAAGCTTTACCATATTTGCTTCTTGTTCGAGTTCCCTTCCAAATAAAGCCAAAAGAACTTCAATCTCAGCTCGACTTTTATCAGCAAGTTTTGTGATGGCGAGTAAAAAAGTCAACGCTGCGAAGAATTGCGCCCTGTCATCTTTTAGCGTGGCCAATAATGGAGAAGCCAAAGCATTGATCAGAAGCGGTTGCAACTGTAAAGATAAATGTAGAAACTCTAGCAGTTCAATGTTTTATATTCATATCGTGAGCAATCGCAAAAATACCTTTTCCAAAGCTTGCCCAGCGTCGGGGACGTTTTGCGCATAATGAAGAAACGGTGAAATCGTTGAGATGAGTTTCATCTTTGACTCTATCATTTTTCCGGTAATTAGATACATTAACGACAAACCTTCGTTTAGATCTTCAATAGTTGAATCAAATGTTTGGAGAAACAAGAAAAATATCCTAAATAAAACCATCTTTTGTGATCAACTGATCAAATACTGACCTCTGTTGGTACAAAATGCTTCTCTTGTATTTCCCACGAATTGGGTCGAACTTTGATGAAGTGAAGTCAAAGATTATTCGTAGTAACTCGGTTCCATCAGAAGATATGCTCCCAGAAGCGATTCGAGAAAGTAGCTGTATTCAAGCTACATTTTTGCTGTTAATAGTTCAACAAACCTCTTTACATTCAGGTGATCCTCGTTGATTCCACGGTCCGTTCAATAATGCAGCTTTCACGAAATATGTTTGAAACAATTCATGTTCTTTTGGCGATAAATTGACAGGAATCTCCTAAATACTAATACAAAAAATAAAATCACATCAATCTTACTGTTGACGTGGCTTGAGTTCTGTTGATTAGAGAATAGAAAAACAAAAGACGTGCATCCAATTCAAATTGTTCGTTCATCATCAATTTACGCAAGTGATTCACTTCCTAAAAGGGCCATAGAAAAGCCATGTGCCATTTTAATTACCTGTGTTTGAGCCACAAATAAGTAGAAAATCTTTTGATAAATTGGCTTCATCGCCGACATTTCAGATACTTTCATAGTTATGGCTGCGTGCGACCTATTTTCAAAATAATCTAATAACTTTTGAATTTAAATTACTCGTCTAAATATGTTCCAATCTCTTGCAACGATGTGGCAAAAAGTTCGACCAAATCCGGTAGCGTTTCCCAGTGGGTCTAAAAAGGATTGGATTATTTATGAGTATGTTTTAAGCTCACTGTTGCTTTTAATGCTTACCTCTTTTGTAGCAAATTCGATTAATTGTTCGATAATTGAAACAATAATCCCCTCATTTAATCGCGTGACCATTTTCAATATTTCTTGAATTTGGGCAGAGAAATCATCTAAACAGCGCTTATCTCTATTTGAATTTAATTGTACCTGTGTTTAGGGAATCTTGTATGATCTTTCTTATCGTCTTGTAGCTATCCTCATCAATTGTTGCCGCGCAAATCGTGGCAAAATACTTTGAAATGTCTAAATCAAGATTAAATGCGTTAGAAAACACAAAATTACTTAAATCGGAACAACTTTGAATGATTGTCCAAACCGCATTCCATTCCCTCACATTCTTTGCAAAGCATGTAACAAATGACAGATATTCTTTTCTAAAATGAGCACAATGAAATTATGAGAAAAACGACAAACCTTTCTTGCTCCGTGTCAACCAATTTTATTCCAGCCTTCAGTTCGTCCGAAAACACGGAAAATATTGAAGGATTCTGATTGATAAAACGAGCATATTCCTAAAAACTACATGTTTTTATAGATGGTAACTTTAAACCTGCAAACACTTGTAGTTGCATATTTTTGCCTCAATTGGTACCCATTCCCGCGAACATTGAACAGCATCCAAAATCGGGAGAAACAAGTCGTATAAAAGAGCCTCTAAAATTGATATCCTATCACATAATTTCAAACAATTACCATATCCATTGTTAGCCGCAAATGCCACAAAATAAGATAGTCTTTCCAATGCTTCCTTGATACATTCAGCTTTATTCTCGGCCACGTTAATTGTTTGTCCTGTAAAAAGACTTTAAATCTACCACTGATACACAAACTAACCTCGCACAACAAGCACAAGCCAACTAATGATGTATTCCAAAACCATTTTTCCAACTCGTTCGTCGGACGAGTGTTGATTTAGTCTTTCATCGGTTAAAGCCTATAAATTTAACCATTTGAAATAAGATATAAAAATTACCTCTAACAAAGCCAAGGCCTTCGATTGGAGTCCCATTTCCACCTGCACAACGAATGGCTCACAATCTGTTCACGAATTAAATTAAAAGTTTTTTACTGCCAAATACTTTGCATGAATTCCTTGATCGTTGCTTTTAAATCGTCTCGTTCGGTTGCTTGTAGAGCCATAAAAACAGAAACTAGGGCTTCAGTCAAATTCCCGTCAAGTTTCAAGGTTCCCTGAATAACTCTTGATAGTAGTCATCGATTCTCTTTAAAGGTAGCCATGACTTTGGCTTTTCCAACAATCTTGCTCAAAAGTTACCTACCTTATACTTCGGATTTAACGCCACCATTCGAATCGCACCAAAAATGTGTTCAATATGAGGGAGCAGTAAAGTCGGCGGGAAAGTCTTGCACGCTTTGGCCTAGATTTAGATGTAAAAGTTTCTCATACACTGAAAGGCTATTGAAAATCACTAGAACGTACCAAAAGTGAACAAACGTTGAATTTTTGCTCTTGTGTCGTTTCTTCATCACGAAGCTTTTCCTAAAACAACTTTTGGTACAGTGCAATACGAAAATCTCCAACCTCTATCATCACATATAAATATGGGCCAAACGCCGAGTGAGCCAAAAAGGAGTTTTCCACCATAATAGTTAACCTAAAATGACAACTCATTAAAACACAAAATAATTTGCTATTTTGCTTTAGTTATCTCGAACTCACATGTCTGATGTCACATCTTCTTGTCCTGGCAACTAAACTTTCAATTAATTAACAATCATAATAGGATTTGCTTACTGGTTTGAATTCAATCGGATAATAGCAAGCGATTACTTCAAAAAGGTCTTCAGCCAAATCACCTAGGGTACAATTTGTTGAACAAAAATTTCAAGCCAAGCTACCCAGAGGGAATCTACTAGAAATGCGGAGATGAAGACGAAAGGCTTGAACCAAACAACGAGGATCTCTATAAAACTTCAATAAAACGATAGATTACAAATAAAACCTTTCACCACCCATCATGTTGATAAATGCCGAGGTCACATCTGAGCCCAACATTTTCAGCTCTAAAATGAGATAGGTGACTAAAGGTTGAATTTGTAAGACCTTTCTCGAATTTTGTGACTATCATCTCGAAAATAGCATAGAAATCTGCTCGTGTTCGTTGAGGCCATGACTAAACCCAGTATTGATAATATGAATGAAAGATAATATTGACCTGAATGTTTCCTTGAAGAAAAACATCTTGCATTAATAGAAAAGCCGCCTCTTTTGAGAAGTTCTCCGTATTACAGGACTAAATTGCAATGAGTTTTCCAGCAAACAAAGCATTTACCAAGTGTCGAATTGTCTCAACAACAGTTCCCCGTTAATTGGCGAGCATTCTAGCTGCACAACAAAAAATTTTAATAGGAGATCCACTGAAATTGAGTTTTAGGTAGCTACCCAAAAGATCTACCTTCTGATGATAGAAGAAAGTCAGAAGGAAGTTTCTTAATGACAGATGCATAAACATTAATGCCGGCCTCTCTTTTCAAATCATCTTTCGAAGTGACAAAAGGTCTAAATCTTGGTCGGTTAGCAAGATAAGCGCAAGAGATTTACCTCAATTCCTCGATGAAATCGACGAGTTTCTTTTGCCCACTGGTGAGCGATTCCAGAAGATCTGGCACGGACTCCGAAATTTCATCAATGCTCATCAAAACTTAAAGTGATTACAGTAACCTATATCCTCGCCACCAAAAAAAATAAATAACTCAGCGGCCAACAGTTTTAAAACATTTGTGGAAACATTTAGCAATGGTTTATTTTACATTAAATTGACGTACATCAAAAATGGATAATGACAACACAATGAGCACTATTTACAAGACATAGTCACTTTTCAGCGAATAATAAGATCCCTTTGTAATTTACTCAAGAACGCGGGTGTTTCGCTTTGTTTCCGCTCGTTTTTCGTGTTGCGACCGGAACTCGTTGGTCCACTCAACCTGAGCTGTGCCATAAAAGAATCCTCGACTTGGTGAGCATAACGGCTTTTCGGTCCAACCACTCGCATGTGTCTAAAATGTGGAATCAGGACTATCCATACGAGCTAGAGCTAGTCTTTACATAAAACTATACCGAATATGTGTATCGCGGCCATTCTGATGATTTGTGAGCACTTGTAGCTGCACCACCCAAGCTCGTGCGGCTTTGCCTTTTCCACGGCTTCGTAGATCGATCACCTAACAATTAACTAACAGTAACAGAATGGTTGTATTTTCTACCTGCCATCCTTGAGGCTCGTCAAAGTTCACCGAAAGTCCATCATCCAAATGCATGATGCACGATCCCAAGTGAACGGTCACCCTAAACAAAACTCGTTGAACTGTCTGTATAGGCGATCGCTTTACTTACTTGTTGGGCGTGTAACTTTCATCGGTCTTAAAATCTAAGTACAGAAACAAAAAGGAAATATCCGTCTTTCGTGGAAATTCGATGGTAACCTAAATTTTAAATTAAAATTAATTTCTATTAACACTCGAAAATTACCGAATGTGGTTGAGGACCATCTGATTGCCAATATGACTAAAGTTTGATCATAAACAATGTAAAATAAAAAACATCACAGATCACACAGATAAAAAAACTCATAAAAAGATCACAAAGAAAGAATTCCCGATTAGCAAGAATGAAACAAGTATATAGATGCTTCAGAGAGAGAGAGCGAATTAAAACCAAACCTCGTGGCTATCCGACAAAAGTTCGTGAATACCAAAGCCTAAACGCTGCTGAACCTTTTCTGCTACATTTAACGAAACCTGCTTTACAAGAGCTCAACGTCCAAACGGCTTGCGAAGAGATGTCATGATGATCAGGTCCGGCATTGCTAAAGTTAAAAATCCTTGCGCATTTGGAAGCAGTTATAAAGTGAAAAATTACAATCCTAGTTAGCACAAAAATTTACGCTGGCAGGTGATTAAACCAGTCAGCTCCACAAGTTGACTCAAGTGCCTCTTCTTCATCAACATCCATTGCGAGAGACACCTAAATAAAGGATTTCATTCAGGCTGCCTACAACATCATTCTCCAGAAATTTCAAGTAGATTGAGCTCCTCATTTCAGCCAATAGAACATAGAAATAGAAATTTATTAAAATCTTTTGTCGTTTAACACGTAATATATCCTGTGACCATCCAAATTATAAACCCGTATAACGTAAAACATCCGAATCGTTAAACAAAACAAACATAAAATTACAAATGCACAAACAATGAGCATTCCAAATCGTTTTTATTAAAGCAACACGCCCTTGGCGTTGATCTTGAGATATTCGTCGACAAGTTCTTCTTCTATGAGCATCTTGATGTCCTAAAAGATCAATTGAGTAAGTCAATTTGGAAAAGAGCAAACCTTTTGTGCCATAAGCTTTTGAATTTGCTCGACTTGTGCTGGATTTGCATATTTAGCCCAATGAAGATGCAAGGCTCGGGACCAAACACAACTCTTTGCCCCTTGCATGTATGCCTAAAAGTATGAACATGTCATAACAGTTAAATTCGATAAACTAACTTCATACGCATTTTCGATTTCATTTCGTTCGATGAAGAGACTAATCAGTTGACACCAAAAGAACGGTTCTTTTTGCCTAAACAAGTAAGTTGTAAGCGTCAAAGTTAACGTACATAGTAGCCACGTCTTGGTATTCTTTGATCAATAAACGCAAAGTCGTCTGGGCCGTCTCCTTCTGAAAAGAGTCTAGAACAAGCAATTTAACAAAACAAACCGTTTCCAATCTCAACATAATATGCTCAAAGACTCGTCGAGAAAAATACGTTCGCGTTACTGCCAAAATTCGTGAATCAACGATATTCTTTGATGCAATGGCTAAAATTTTTCCTTGATTTTCGTTACAAACGCTCAAATTCTAATAATCTTTTATTTAACGACTAAACTTGCCTTTTTGATGTTCATCTCGAAGTCTTTTTCCAAAGATAGTTCGCTGCAAGAAAGGCCTCGTGATGTGCGATTCACATTCCATTTTGCGCAGTTGAATATCACTTGGATACCTTTGCGTTCCAAAAGACAAAATTTCGTAAAGTTTTGATGAGCCATTGCGGTATCGTTTCTGAATGTCAAATAATTTTACGTAGAAAAATGCAAATGTCTTACATTGTGACCCTCAATTAACTTCGCGGCTTCTCGAATAGCAAATGCCCCATCAAAATCAATATTAAGAGTTGTGACCAAACTTCGCATTGCTTTCCAGCGAGATTCAAATCTAAACTTTATTTCCTCAATCCGCCATATCGAGCAAACCAAACCTTTCCTTCGAGGCACCTTGTCCAACCACATATTGTAGATGCATAAAAAGTACAGAGAAGATTGTAGCCGGTTGATAAAGCCCAAGTGGCGTCAACTGAAAGAAGACCTTTTCAAAAATTTTATATGTACATATTTTACATTTTTTGAGTGATGGAAATCTATTTTGCTTTAAAAAAACTGTTACAAAGTCGTAATGTGTTTAGCAAAGTATTTGATTCACCTCAGTTTCCATGGTCATACTAGTGTAAAATCCTTCGCGTTGAGTCCATGCTTGAACTCCCAAGAGTACTTCTGGCCCCGACAACTTTGGTTCTTCACTGATTTTTGCCAATAGCTGAAATGATTCCAATATAGATCACTTATAAAAATCATTACATCTTTGGTAGCCGGAAAAACATCTGTTGCAACTTTTGTTAGAAGCCAAATCGTAAACGATGGACGGTCCACTATCTGCAATTCAAAAAATGGCAGCATTACCATAAGGGATTACCTGAATCAATAAGTATAGCAGTGTCGCATAAAGCGAAAATATCATTGGATCCTCAATGCTTAAAAAATTCTTCTTGCAAGAAATGTCTTCTGAGATTTGAGACCAAATCTAGAAGCATGAGTAATTGCTAAAAAAAACTGAATTAGCTACCACTGCGATCGCCTTTATAAAAACGAGTTGCATTTGACTAGTGCGTGCAGTTTCGAACCATTTCGCAGCCTAAATATATTCGTTTGCAAACAAGCGATGAATGCAAACCTCTCGCATTGCCAAAATAGATGGATATATAACAATCTTTCTTTCATTGCCCACTTTTTGAAGCTCCACAGTTAACCTAAAAACAAATAACTTAAAGATTGAAAAAGGGCTGAAAAATTACTAACTTACATGCTAATTTGTTTGAGCAATTCTCGCAGCTTCCCGGTAGCGTCCATATTCTCGTCATCAACGTCATCAAAAATTCTACAAATAAATAGCTTGTTAGTAATGAAATTAATATTAACCTTAACACCCGAAAAGATAGATGAATCCGAGCAACTGTTTTGTTCGAAACCTCTATTGAGAGCTTCTTACAAAGACGATCGACAAATAAATCTAAGACAGTTAAATTTAAAAAAACTCATTTAACCTAAACCGAGATTCTTAGGCACACGAGAGTCGATGTTAAATCCACCAAACTCTTTAGCAATAAGCGGAATCGAATCCCACTAAAACTTGGATTTCTAAATATTTAATATACATTAAAATAACCATAAAAGGTCGTCGGCGTCCAAACGTATTTGGTAATCGAATTGCGAACAGAGCTACACGATCATTATCAATGTTGGGGAGATTTAGGTCTTCGAATCTAATCAGGCGAGACCAATCCTCTGCCTAAAAATACCAATCTTCTTCTAACGAACTCTTTCAGTACTACAGCATGACGGAATCCTGGGATTTTACCGTAAAGTCGTCATTGCTTATTCGAATGGGCCGGCAATAATAATTCTCACGGAGTCGCTCCAATTCTGCCCAGAGCTTAGCACGAGCAAGCTGATATTCGTATTTTGCTGCAATCCCTTTGACCATTCTAAGAAAAAAATATAAAAATTAAAAAAAAATAATTAACTGTGTTTCCAGGAAATGCAGCTCTTGATTTTCTTCGGCGATTTCAGGCTCAGCGTAAGTTTCGTTAGCATTCCAGTTTTTCCACACTGAAAACAAGATGTTTACTGGATGTATTAAAAAACTTACAGATTGCATTTGCATCTCCAATCTTTGCTGCGCCGCTATCCCAATAACCTTCCAGCGATTTTGCAATTTGTTCAAGCTAAAAGGGAAAATGAACCCATATTTGAATGTCTCGCAGAACCTTTTTCTTATCCCGAGAATCCAGATCTGCGACAAACTGCGCGGGGATCCACAAATGTCCAAGTATCGCCTAAACCCATTAATATTTTTGTAGTTCAATCAAAAATTACTTGAGAGAAAGCAACAGCTTTTGCAGCCGAGCCCGATTGAATGAGGTGCTCAGTTCGTCGTTGCAGCAACAACAGAATCGCTCCCTTTTTGGTTTTGTCATCTGTCAGATTTCGGGGAACACTAAAATGTGTTTGTTGCTCAAAACGTATGCTTGCCAGAATTTTATAAGTGGCTACTTTTCGGAAAATTATGTATGGATGTACGTCCAATATCAATTAAAATTTTTTAATATTCTTTGAAGTACTTGTATTCTCCTCGCAGTATTGCATCCAATCTTTTAATGGCTTCATTGAAAATCTCGTCCTAAATGAATCGATAATGACGTTGAAGAAAGAAATTTACAATTCGCTTCGCATTATAAAACTTCATATCGTAAAGCAAAGTGTCAATCCATAAATCCCAAAAATTGGGATCAGAAGCAAATGCTTGAATTTTTGAAGTGAACAACCTACAAAAACCATATAAAACCAAGTTCAGATTTAAACTGACGTATTCATTTCTTCTTCGGTCAATACTTCCTTTTTTACCGAAATCGCCACTTTGAAAAGCATTAACGAACTAGGGACTTCCTTTGTTGCTGCATCGATTTTGCTCATCTGAAAGTTTTTGTGTAGCAATATTTTCATTCCCAATTTAAACAAATACCTTGACAGCCAAATACTGTTGTTCCGTCGGTGGAGCTTCTCCTGCGTCTTGGAGTTTAATTGCTTGGTGTTCGTGATCGGCATCTTCTAGTTCAAGCTTTTTAATCCATAACGACTCAATAGCAACTCGTTTGCTTGTTGAATTAGCTCTTGCCTTATTCAGCGCTTCATTAATATCCTAAAGTTGAAGCTGATAAAAGGAAACATCGACGAACAAACTTTCAGCTTTTCTTTATTCGTCTTGACTTTCCCCCCTCCTTTAATTTCGATAAGCATTTGATCGGTGGAAATGTCTTCATTTTTGCTCATCTGCATGTCTGTTTCTTCGTCCTAATATCAGAATTTTAAAATACATTTTTAGCAGCAAACCACAGTCGTTGGTCTATCCAAACGTCCACTGCTTAAAGGCATGTAATCAACAATTGGACCACATTTACTAAAAAATAACAGTTTTAAAAGCAATAAGAATAAAAAATTACGTGGCGAAGTAATTCTCTGGATTTGCAGACCAACGAATTCGGCGGTCAAAAATGCGTTTTGGCTTTGCTTTCGAAAACGTTCCTTCACCGTAGATTTCCTAAACGCTAGTCATTTACGAAAAAGTTAACTTTGAAAATACCCTTGACCATTGCTCATAAAACTGTCGTTGCGTCTGCGCAATCCGTGGTCCAAGGACGATCAAACACTTTATATTATACTAAAAAAAAGGATATATCATTGGTCAAAAACATTTGAAGTACCTGAACTCTTTCTCGTTTATAAACGTGATCATGCTGAAAAAGCTCAATGCTAGGCTCTCTAAAAATTGTAAAATTAGAGATCATGGATAAATTACACCTGTCAAAAATAGTTGCACGATCAAATCCAAGCCTGCTTGTAACATCTAGATTTTTCACATCAAGGAAGCACCATTTTTCTTTTGGTCTTCGTTTGCGAGAAGCGCCGGAACTAAAGGATGCCGTTATTAGAACACATACAATTCTGCACCTTGGAGATGATGAAGAGTCTCGACGATGGCGTTTCTTTCTGAAAGTTTTAGATTATAGGACTGAACTTTTCCCTCTTTAAAACTTGCGCACAAAATTGAATACTTTGAGTGACGAGAGCGTTTTCTGCTATGATCGCTAGAACTGGACGAAGACGAGCTATCACGGTGACGTCTTTTCTTGCGTTTTGAATCCTACAAGTTAAAAACGTTATAGCCTGAGACAGCTTTTCTTTTACAAAAAGCATTCTAAATGTTTCCTATTGAACAGATACCTTTCGGCCAGAGGAGCGTGACTTCTTTCGACGTCGATTTCGATCTGCATCGCTTAAAGATTTGCGCTTCTTCTTATCGCTTCTTCGGGACGTTGAAATTTCGTCTTTTGCCTGAGTTAACTAAATTTCATTTTGACGTATTATATAAAAAGACTTGAAACCTGGACATTTGCAGGTCTTTGTTGAGACGACGATTGCTGTGATTCTGGTTTGTCTCCAGCGTTGAGTAAAAGCAGTTGATTCAAACGAAGCGGATTGACATTCCTAAAGTGACAAAGTACTTAAATTTGTCAACCTGACTCAAAACATACCGGAATTTTCCTTGTGCAACTCTTGATACTTGAACGCTGTTGTTAACCTTCGGGCGCAACATCTCCTCTTCGCGCTAAAATTTAACGAAAACTAAAATGAACAATAGCAAATATGACTTACCACTTCATCTTCTCCCCCCTTCTCCATCCGAACATATAAGCGTACTCCGAGACTGAAAACATTGCCACATTTTTAATTTACAAGTTTTTCATTCAGCACTCTGTTTGCTCAAAAAAATTTAATTGATACCTTTGGGGCTCCGTCGCTATCGCTGTCACTGTCACCATGATTGGTCACTCTTGGCGCTCTGCGATTGTCCTTCCACCTCTCAAGCCGTCTCCTTTCGGCTTCTCTTTCTCTTCGATCTCGTTCGTGCTAAAGTTACTAAGAAATACCGCATATTCTTTGGCAAATATTTACCTCAGCACTTCTGTCTAGCTGAAGTTTCTGATAAAGCAGCATTTCTTGTTGTTTGGCATGTTCGGCTTCTTGTGACAATTTAGAGGGAAATGTGCTAAATTCAACATTGATAATTCAAATACAGAAACCTTTAGCTCACGAGAATCGGTTCTCATTGCTTCTCGATGTTCCCATTGCTTGTGGTGTCTAGAATGGAATGGCGGTGTTAAAAATACGAAAGTACTTACCATATTATTAGCCGAGACACTGGCAAAAATTGATCTTGTTGCCTAAAAAACAAATGCTTGACACCAGTACACTTTAGTACTAACCTGGCTTCCATTTGATTCATCATTTTTTCATACTTTTGCTCTTGATTCATCGTTTACCCGTATTGATTGTTCTAAACTTGTACTTTATTTTTTTCCACTGGGCAAACATGGTCCGACTGAGCTGAGAAAACATTTTAACTTTTCCTTTATTATGTAATTTGTGCCCATAGGTTAAATGTAGTAAAACAGTAGCTACGACTTCTCAAAAAAAGTGTTTTTTCATTCAGTGCCGTAATTCAATCAAATGCCTTGCCATCAACTGATATTTCTTAAATCCATCTGGAAACCAATCGGATCGATATAAATTTGCCAAAACACGGCTGTGCAATCTACTCATCCAAAAAAGTTTTATTTCAGCAAAACAAGAGGTATTTTTAAAGGCAATGAGATCATCGGATAAGAGCATAAAGGTGAAAATGTGAAAAATGTTATTAAGGAAACAAAAACAACAATAATCAAGTATTTCAAAGTTATAGACGAAATTTGTTAGATGATGGGTCCCATCGCTTCTTGTTTCTCAGCAATCACCTAAAATATTCCATTAATATGATGGAAGAAGAAAACTGTACATCGTCACGTTGTCTAATCAGCAAACTCCGTTCGGCACTGTTCCCTCCACAAATTGTAATTGACTTCAGCTGCAAAAGGACATAAAGAATCATTGAAAAAATACATTGAAACAACTTACCTTTTCCTTAGAACTAGCAATGACATACACCGTTTTGATCATCGCACTAGCCAGCTCCTCGGTGTACGGCGTATCATTTGGGAAAAATGCTGGTGCGATCAACTAAATGAACAAAGATCGGAGTGGTTAATGATGAACTTTCATCTTACTTAAAACCCACCACTTTTGTTTTTCCCTCATCTAGCGCGGCTTCAATGGCAGAATCATACCCATTTCGAGTTATCGCTCCCTGATCCCCGCCACCGCCGCGTACAATACCGATCGCAATCACTAAAATATAAATTTCACAAGCTCGTAAAAGTTTATCTTACAAAATTCCCGCGACGTTCCTTGCGATACACACAATTTAATAGTCTTATTGTGCATAATTTGACGGCAAGATGCTTTCATCATATCAGAAACCTAAAAGGCGAGTTTGAAATTTAAAAGCAACAACGACCTGATGTGTGATATCAAAACGTTCAAAAAGCCATGCAGAGAATTTTGATACTGGTTTTCCTGTCATATCTGCATCCGCAACAACGGCATCAAATTCGGGAACGTTTCCTCCATGGAAACAGGCTTCCAGCTATAATATTTGAATACAAGTATAAAATTTCAATGTTTTGTTATACCTCTTGTTTTGCAATGAGCTCTGACACTTTGACGACCTCTTTAAATCGTTCCAATTTTCTTACAGCTAAAAATCATCGTGTTAAAAAGTTTGAAGACTCATGCTACCTTCAGGATTTCCGATGGATCTGAATGAGGAGGTGGGAGTGAACTGAACTTGTTGCAGATGACTGTAGCAATCAACTAAAAATAAAAATGAATTGTTTCTCTACTACATATTTAAAAACCGTCACTAAATCGTCGTCTACGGCTCCCAGTGCTCTTGGCTGAATTGATTGAATCTTTTCTTCCAAGCTTTACCATCGGAGAAGCATTTTGTCCAGAAGTCTTGGGACCAACTAAAGACGTAAAAAGACTTTCTAAAAATATTGACTTTTACCTGAGCTAAGTCCTCGTTTTAAAAGACCACTAATTCTATGCAATGTTGAGCTACTGAAGCCACTGTTTCGGAGTCCACTCTTTGGAGTTGTAATTTCTGAACAAAGCGTTGCTAAATTAGGTAATGTCAACTGTACCCGTAGTTTTGAGAGGAGTAGTTGGCAAATCTGGCTGTTTGAAGCTTCGCTTTGGCGTAATCAAACTTGTTGAAGCTGATGCATCTATCTGAAACAAAACCGAAGTTCTAAAATAAATAAAAAGCCCAACCATTGACTGGGAAGCGGAAAACTGCACGCCCCGAATTGATTGGCGATCAGATTGAGAGTCATCGGTTTGGTCTGCCTGAAGATTTCGCCGACCCACTAAAATTTTAGTTGGATAAAAGTTTCAAAACACGTAGATGTCTAAATAAAAGCGATAAAAACGTACTATTATAGCTACCTTTGCGACTTGGGACCAAAAACATCTCTTCGTTCTCTTTGCCTTCTTCGTATTCAGGGGATTCACGAATCTGGAATAGAAAATTAAGTGTCGTTTAGTGTAGGTTTGATTGAAGCGTAAATGAGAAGTAAAACATTACGGAACTAACTATAAGAAAAGAAACGTTTGAACAAAACTAGTGAAGTTAGTACATCGCCAAAGAAATACCGGTTGCTCGCAAATGAAACTTTTGAGGTGAGTGTTACGTTTGATCGAAAGTGGCAACTGATGAGGTGCGTCGCTCTAGAAAAATGAAGGTGGCTTTTTCAAAACCCTGATATTTTTAACCTCGGGTGTGGTTTCGCGCTCAACAATAGTGTCAAATATTTGTTTGGATGGTTTCTGAACTAAGTTTTTCTACTTTACTTGTCATCGTCAAACCTCTGGCATAAGTGCTTCCATCCTTGGTAGTTTTGATGTGCTTTCAGTGGTCAACCTAGACATAGAAATACATTTTTAGGACAAACTCGATGCAAAATTATCAATTTTAAATTGATTCAAGCATTTCACGTTGCTTTTAGTTAGAAACGCTGATTACCTTAAAGCTTTAGCTAGAGTTCTCTATGCCTGCTGTTCAGATTCTTAAAATTTACCACTGCTAGCATTTATATTAAACGTAAAGAAAGTAATATGCATGTTGCATGCTAACACTACAAATGCTATCAAAATAAACCCTAAATCACACAAAAACTCACCTTGATCCACTCCGCATTCTTGTAAGAATTCTGCCCAAGCCAAAGAAACTCTTCTTTTCTTTGTCTTTTTTGATCTCTTCAATTTTTTCCAGATCTTCTTGATACCATCGATCTCCAATCTGGCGTTCTTTCTTTGCCGAGCTTTGCGCGAAACGATCTCCCTATACTGTGTTTAGATTAGTAAACGGAAAAAATTTACCGGATCCATCGATTTTCTTTTCGATTTTACCCGCTTCAACATTGGCGAATCCGCTGAATGAAAAAGTTTACAAAGTTTAGAGTTAGTAAGCTAGAATGGCGATTAGGAAGTGTTTTTCTATTTCGAATCATGAGAAATTGGCAAAGAAGAAACGTCAAGTGTATGGGAAAGAAATGCCGCAATATCGGGGAAATATTGAGAAGCCGAGAAATCGTCAAATTATTTAAAACACGCATTTTTATCAAGTGAAAGAAAATACTACATTGTACGCGCAGCGAAAAATGAATGAAAGAAGCAAAGGCGTTTCCAAATTTATAAGGTCAATGCTGGATTTAAAAGCATTCAAGTCGCAAGGCTGAATATCTTTACAACGTCTTTTGTTTGAGGTTATAAAAGGCTTGATGTTTTTGAAGTGAAAATGTGATTCAGATCAAAACAAGGATTGGAAAAATTGAATTTTATCAAAGTGAGAAAGAATTGCCCTTTACCACCAGAAGAACACACTCTGGATTGCCGCTGGCAGTGCAATTTCTGGGTCAATCGTAGGTAAATTGCCTAAAATGTCAGATACCGCAAATAAGTCGATAAAAGTAGTGTAGCTAGTGCTGAGTAATAATTTCGAAGCATGTCTATTTATCTTTATCGAGTAAAATTGTTACCATAGTACACTTGTGCACTTCATACACTACAGTACACTCCGTCGGTGCAGTAGAGCACAGTTTTCAAACTTGATTAGCATCAGTTTAGTTTTCAGCGACGTTCCAAATGTCCCGATCTACTGGTATTCGTCTACATATGTTCCGCTCAATTATCAAAAAACGCTTTTAAAAAAGAAGCTACTGTAATCTCAGGGAAATCGTTCAAAACTAGCTTACTGTAAATACTGTAATAGTACCCCACCCCCTCGTACAGTCGCGTAGTCGCAAAAGTTTTTTAGTATTTCATTTTTTTCAAAGCGCCTGTACTTTAAAAAAATGCGTCTGTGGTATCAAAAAATAGCTGAAATTCAGGGCTATTTTTTGATACCTAAGCGCGCATTGTAGCATAAACTAGTGTCGAGAGAAACGCGTCCAAAGCTAGACTACGCAACACTCCGCACCGTCATTATGGGGGTGGGGTACTATTACAGTATTTACGGTATATTATAATATTATAATAATAAACGGTATAATATATAGTTTTTTAAGTCTCGAAAACTTTCTCACATCACATCCACCGCCAAAAAGATCGCTGAAAAAGGGGCCGAGCATTGCGCGAACACGGTAGAGAAGAATCAAGAATAACAAGAAATCGGGACGCATTTTGAAGAAATATTAGTTATTATAATAATAATCTATTGTAATATTTTGAAGAAATGATCCGTGAAAGAGCTCTAAACAAAAGCTCATCGATTTCTTGTGAAAGGAATCGAAAACAAAAGGGAAAATCAATTTTCACATCAACATTTTCAAAAATCAATGCTGAAATGCTGCAAAAATCTCTTCATTTCTTTAATTGCTATTTCAAAAATAAAGAAACATGGTCAAAAATCAATTCGAAACACGAAAAAACAAGAATTTCAAGTATAATCTCGATTTTGTTCCAGAAAATCAACGGTTTTCTTTTTAAACAAGAGAAAACCGCTGATTTTCGTTGAAAAGTCAAGTAAAAAGAAGACAATTATCGGTTGAAGTGAAAAAGAAAAGAAAACTGGATGATATGCGAGGATTGAGAAAAGGGAGTGGATGGGAATTTCAATGGGAAAGAGGAGATGAGATGGAATTGATACCATGAATCAAATCAAATTCTCAATGCTCAATTTTAATGCTCAATTTCAATGCTTTTAATGCACTAATTTAAATAGCAAGCTTATTTAAATTAGTACAAAGTTTGCATGTTTTTTTACTTAAAACTTTACTTACTTAAACTTTTTAAAGAAATTCGAATCGACTTTAAAAACAAATCTTGACAACTCGGGCAAAACATTTGACAGGGTTGAGTCGAGCACGATTGAGGACACTGAAAAGTGGAAATGAAGAGGTTGGATTAATATTAGAAAGCTGTTTGTTTGTTGTGTTTGTTCACTAGAATATGATTACCGTAAATACTGTAATAGTACGCCCACCCCCCTCGTACAGTCGCGTAGTCGCAAAAGTTTTTTAGTATTTCATTTTTTTCAAAGCTTTCTTTCAACTTTCAAAAAATGCGTTATTGGTATCAAAAAATAGCTGAAATTCAGGGCTATTTTTTGATACCTAAGCGCGCATTGTAGCATAAACTAGTGTCGAGAAAAACGCTGTCAAAGCTAGACTACACAACACTCCGCACCGTCATTATGGGGGTGGGGTACTATTACAGTATTTACGGTAGCTTATAGTTTAAATTCTCGGACTCTGGAAGAAGAAAAGGCAACTGGGTACGGAAGTTTTCTTACCGCTTTGGTCAAGAGGAGCACAATCCAATTTGTGCATCAAACTCGTTTACATAAAAACAGCAGATATCGTAAATAGGTACATAAACTAGTTTGTGCTATTGGTTTGGCCAGAAAGTCTTGTTCGCCTTGAAATTTTCGTTTATAAAGGAATAATTAATCGATCAACGTGTGGTTTGCTTTAAATAAAAAAATTAACGATTTCATTTAGCTCATTTTTGAGCAAATTTGAGTCCGCTTTGAAGCAAATCCGTACGGGAATTCTTATTTTTATTCAGGAAAATCCCTTTACTTCTACAGTTAAATTTTAATCAAAGTCAGCTCTACAGATGCAACTCCTTCAGAAATCAGAAAAAAGAGATTTTCAATCTGTGGGTAGTGTTTCCCCTCCGTTTTTCCCTGATCGTCCTCAGCTTTTCCGCGTATTGGTGATCGTTGGTGGGGTAATTGATGGTAAATGCCCCTTTTCTCTGTCCAATATACCTCTTTTCACCCCTTCCATTCTCGAAATGAGAAAACATTCTAAAAAAGGTCAGAAAAAAAAGAAAGTAATTTCCACCTCACAAATACCCCGTTTCTTTTTCAATTGTAAAGCAATTTTTTTTGCAGTAAAATTTGCAAAATCTTTTTCTTTTTTCTTCAGCTATTTTTATAGGAAAAAGCTCCGAGTTTTTATAGTCACATAGTACTTGGTGTAGAGTAAAACTAAAACATTTTGAGGTGACCACATGTGGAGTATCAAATTGTATTTAAAGCATGGGAATGTTGAAAGGTAGAAAGTTTTCTCTGAAAACGGCTAGAAATTTGACTTTGCTAGACGATTGGACTGTGGTTCTCTTAACTGTGGTTCTCTTAACTGTGGTTCTCTTAACTGTGGTTCTCTTAACTGTGGTTCTCTTAACTGTAGTTCTCTTAACTGTGGTTCTCTTAACTGTGGTTCTCTTAACTGTGGTTCTCTTAACTGTAGTTCTCTTAACTGTGGTTCTCTTCACTTTTTCTAAACTCTGTTTTTAAACTTTGCTAAGCTACCATGCCGCCCTTTTTAATCTAAACCAGCAAAAACCAACCTTTCGTGATTCCGAAAGGGAACTCCTATCTATCGGAAGGGTGTGCCGATTACGAGGCCATATAAAGAACACCTCGCCAGTCACTTTACATAGTGACTTTTCTTTTCTGTGAATGATTCCCAGAATGAGATCTAATGCTAAAAACTTGTGCCCAGTTTTCCGAGTCGTAGAACCTCCTAGTGTCCTAAAAACAGTCCCAAGAGAATCGAAACGGCTTTGGGATTTGTATATAATAGCTTTTCACAATGCAAAAACCCGGATTTCCGAGAAGAACCAAAAAAAATCTTGCACAAGGATTCAGACAATTTTGCAGATCAATTGTTCATTGATCAGGTTTGGGCCCTTAAAGTGTTCTTGGAAATAAATTTTAAACAAATCGTTTTAACAAAACCAAAAAAATTACCCAATTAAGGCAATTGTGCATAAAAAGAGCCATTGAGTGGTGGTGGCTCGATGCACAATGAAGCCGTTGATTATCCCATTTTTCACCGTTAATTGTGTCCTTTGTTACCGGTGATTTGTTCCCATTTTTTCGTGTACCCCTCTCGATGACAACATACATCTTGTCGGTGTTGTTTATTTTACTATCGTTCAATTTGATTAAAAATGTTTTTCATGTTTTTCACAGAAAGAAAATTGTTCCCAATTTTATTGTAATTGTAAAATTTTCTTAGCCAACAAATTGTAAAACATTGTAAAGCATTGTAAAAGCGATCAAAGGATATATTGGGTTGATGGAAAAGTCCTTTCCGATTTTTTTGGGAGAGTACCTTAAATTTGTCGAATTTTGACGTTTTATAGCTCATCCTAAAGCTGAATTCAAGACGGATCGATTGGTAAAAACCGTTTTGAGATATCTCTTTTTTTTTAAAGTTTTTACAGCTATTTTAGTAAAGGGCGGCAGAGCCAAAAAATGGCTGTTTTCACGTTTCGTTAGTTTTCCGTGCAGAAACCTAGGCTAAAAACATGTGTTTCGTGATCAGCGTCAAAAATAACCCCTAGACACGCATTTTCAGAATCTTAGCAAAAAATTTTTGAAAGATATGGTCACCGGTGGAAGTCGAATCAGCGACCCTCAGATCAAGACTGATCTAATACGGTTCCAGTACGGTTCCAGTACGGTTCCAGTACGGTTCCAATACGGTTCCAGTACGGTTCCAATACGGTTCCAATACGGTTCCGAACCAGCGACCCTCAGAGCCTTTCCGCCGCTTTTCGCGATTTTCCTTCGTTTTTCTCGTTTTTTTTTTGTTTTATCATTTTTTTGATGTTGTTTTTAGGGTACAATGTGTGTCTAGGGGTTATTTTTGACGCTGGCCACGAAACACATGTTTTTAGCCT